TAGCGCCAGCTTGTGTTTAGCACTGGTGAGGAGGCCACTTTGTTCTGGACTCATTCAAGCTTCAGGTCTAAACCCCAAACCCCAACCAACCCACACCCTGGACCCCAAAACCCCAAAAGGCCCCTAAACCCTAAACCACAAACCCTAAACCCTAAACCCTAAACCCTAAACCCCAAAAGGCCTTTCGGGTGCAGGGCCCAGGGTGCCCCCCCCAGCAAGGACGGCGTGGCCATTGGCGTGACCACCTGCTCGCCAGGGATGCTTCCAGAAGTGCCCTGGCCCGGCAACCGGTGCGTTAGGGTTTAGGGTTTAGGGTTTAGGGTTTAGGGTTCAGGGTTCAGGGTTTAGGGTTTTTTGGTGTGTCGGGGGTTTATCTGGCCTAGCAGAGATTGGGGGCCTGCAGGGGTGTCTTGTACCCCAAACCGTCCCAAACCCCAAACCCTAAAACCTTAAAAATCCTAAAGCCTCAAGCGCCCTGAGCCTACCCAGCCAGGCCCTCGGATCCTAAATTCGTGAACCTTGCGATTAAACCCAGGATAAAACTCCAAGCCTTTGTTTGCGAGACTTTGAGAATCTCGTTTCCACGATCTTCGTAGGTAACTGGCCAGTTAGGACTTGCCCTCCAACTCCCTACGAAGAACAGCAAGTAAGCTCTTTCCCTGAAACCTTATTTGGATCCTTGGACTCCGAAACCCTACGGTAAACTCCAAAAAGTTAGAACATCCTTATTCCCATGCCCCAAAGCGGTATACTAGAGGGAATCCCAGCTCTAATCATCCTCAAACCATGTTCCAACTTTCTGGAGTTTACTGTACACCTAAACCCCTAAATCCATGAAACCCGAAACCCTAAAACCCTGAGCCCTAAACCCTCAGCCCTAAACCCTGACCCCTGAACCCAAACCCGTAAACCCTAAACCCTAAACCATAAACCCCACTAGTTTAGGGCTCACAAGGCTTCCAGGCCTCCAGGTTATCATGGGTTCCCCTACTAATTCTCCGTAAATAGCCTGAATTATGGGGGCACCTAGGGGGGGGGGGGGGTAGTATGGGGGTAAGGGAACCCACTATAAGGTTAGCAGGGCTTGACCCTCCTCCGGCGCAGGAGCTGCCGCAGACCATGGATGAAGGGGGCCCCGGAAGTCCAGGGAATTTCATTCGGGTGTAGGGTTTAGGGTTCAGGGTTAAAGGGTTTAGTGTTTAAGGTTTAGGGTTTAGGGTTTAGGGTTGAGGGTGTATTGACATTCTTAAACTGAGTGGCAAAGCTGGGCAGTCTTGGACAATTCTCGGCTTACCCCTATGGTTTTCATAGAGACTTGTTCATAAATAGTATATTTTCTTGGCTAAAAGGATCTTACTTGGGAAGCTTGTCGCCAAATAGGTAAAATGCCAACCAGAGGTTTAGGTTTTGTTTAAGGTTTACAGGGCTTTTGTGAAGGGATGCTCAGAGGGAACCGCCTCTCGCGCCGCTTGCTAAGCCCCAAATCTTGAGCCAAAACAGCTCCTTGATGCTAAGGCGCGGCTTGAGGGATTTGCCCTGAACCCTAAACCCTAAACCCTAAACCCTAAACCCTAAACCCTAAACCCTAAACCCTAAACCCTATAACCCTATAACCCTATAACCCTATAACCCTATAACCCTAAACCCAAAACCCTAAACCCTAAACCCCGGGTTTTCGGGTTTCATGAGCCCTAAGCCTTGAAGCCCCGTCAGGTCTAGGTCTCACCTTGCCCAGGAGATCGATCCATGCTGGCTGCTGGGCTTCGATGGCCTGGGCCTATAGGGGATGCGGCGGGCGTGTCAAAACTCGGAGCTTTAGGGTTTAGGGTTCATATAGGGTTTAGGGTTTGAAGTTTAGGGTTTAGGGTTTGGAGTCTAGGGTTTAAGGTTTAGGGTTTGGGGTTTGGGGTTCAGGGCTTAGGGGCTTTCTCCCAAGAATCAACAGCCTGCCTGATATAGGGGTCGGAATAATCACCAGTAGCATTCCCTTATGGTTCCTTGATTTTTATACTACTTTGACCCCCAAGACCCGATTCTCATTCTTAAGGCCCCCCCTTTTGGTAGGCTGACAGTTTCAGGGTGCTAGTCGCCGCGGTGTGTTTCGAGTCTTTGGATGGGCCAGCGACCCCCAAACCCTAAACCCTCAACCCTCAACCCAGAGAGGCATGGAGTGGGATGGAGCGCAGCTTCTCTGGGGGCCTGCCCCATGGTCGCCGCAGACGCTCAAGGCCCTTCTTCCCTAAACCCTGGCCCTAAACCCTAAACCCTAAACCCCAAACCCTAAGCTCTCAGAAAACTTCAGGGTTTTCAAGGCTTCGGGGGCCCTAAGCCGCAAGCCCCTTGATGGCGAGCAACTCGCCAGCATCTAGGCCTCCCGAGCCACCCTTCCCTTCATTGGGGGGAGAGAGGAGAGAGAGACTTTTTTGAACCCTAAACCCTAAACCCTAAACCCTAAACCCTAAACCCTAAACCCTAAACCCCAAACCCCAAACCCTAAACTCCCTAAACCCTTTGAAATCTAGCTCTCCTGCTTTTCCCCTTTTTTGGGGGAGAGCCTTAGAGAACCCCAAGAGCCCTTGAAACTTGCCGAGTCATGCTTTCCTCTCTTTTTTTAAGGAGAACCTTAGAGACCCTGAGCCCTAAACCCTAAGCCCTAAACCCTGCTTGCCCTTCGGCTTGCCGATTTCTTAACAGGTAGCTAGGCTTACTAGGGTTATTCACGAATCCAAAGCAGCCTGGAAGGCCGCCAAGGAGGAGAAGTACAAAGTCGCAAAGGAAAGCCAGAAGATGGCCCAAAGGAAAAGATAGAAAGTGGCTGCGCTCCGGACTGTGAGGCTTCAGCATGGAAAGCGTCAACACGCCTGCCGTTGCAAAAATGAGTGATGAGGTGACTCAACTTAAACCCTAAACCCTAAACCCTAAACCCTAAACCCCAAACCCTAAACCCTAAACCCCAAACCCTAATCCCTAAACCCTAAACCCTAACTCAAGCCGCGGCCCAGACCGGAAGCCATGAATGGGCCCGTCGACCCTTCTGTGCAGGAGAGAAGTGACGATTGGTGGTGGTAGGGTTTTTAGGGTTATTAGGGTTATTAGGGCTTTTAGGGTTATTAGGGTTATTAGGGTTTTTAAGGTTATTAGGGTTTTTGAGGTTGTTAGGGTGATTAGGGCTTCTAGGGTTGTTTGGGTTATCAGGGTGCTTGGGTCCGTCAAAAGCTTCCGAGAGTTGCCGGTGTTGCCGGTTGTTTCTTTTTTGTTTAAGCTTATAGGGTCTTTTGACGGATTGCAGGGTTTGTAGACTTGTAGTTGTTGGGTTTTTTGATGTCCTTAGGGTTACTTGCATGGGGGGGTTAAGAGTTTATAAGGTTTCGAGCTAAGAGCCCGAAGATCAACCGGTGCAACGTCCAGATGGTGAGCCAAGTCAAGACTCCCAAGCCCACCTGGGACCCTATTCAGGGTTGAGGGCTTGGGGTGTAGGATAGCTTTAAGCGAACTACATGCTACTCGGCGGGTGTTTCGGGTTTCAAACCCTTTCAGCCCTTAAAAGCCCAGAAAGCACCTCAGCAACTCCTTCCAAGCCCGTGGCAGCCCCCCCAAAAGCCCAGAAAAGGCTCGGAGGATCAACCAGAGTCTCCTTACGAGTTTTTGTTTGTGACAGTCTAGGGCTTAGGGCTTCGGGCTTAGGGTTTAGGGCTTAGGGTTTAGGGTTCAGGGTTTAGGGTTTAGTCTCAGTCGGAAGTATAGGAATGCTACGCCCCCCCAAGCTCAAGCCCTAAATCGGCGCACCACGGAAGCCTGAAACCCTAAACTCCAAACTCCAAACTCCAAACCCTAAACCCTAAACCCTAAACCCTAAACCCTAAACCCTAAACCCTAACCCCCTACACCCCCTACACCCCCCAAACCTGAAACCCTAAACCCGAAACCCTACACCCGCGCACCCCCCCAAAACCCTCCAAAAACCCCTAAATCCTCTTACCCTAAACCCTACACCCTAAACCCTGAACCCTAGACCTAAGCCCCCAAAACCCCCAACAAGCCGCAAATGAGGGCTCAAAAGCCTTGCGGAGGTCGGCGACCGCCTGGGGGTGATGGTTACCATGTCCGGGGCGCTCCAGGCCTTTGAGGGCTTTTTGGGGGTTTAGGGTTTAGGGTTTAGGGTTTAGGGTTCTTTTGGGTTTTAATAGCCTTCTGAGGTACCCTGAACCCGAAACCCTAAACGCTAAACCCTAAACCCTGGAAAACGCAGCCGGCAGGTTTAGGCTCGGGCGGCTGCCAATCTCCTACTCTTTTGTCTTTTAGGGGTAGAAGTTCAGCAGTTTTTTTTTCGGCACTTGGCCAAGAGGTACGGTTTCGGCACGGACTTCGGTTTAGGGTTTTAGGGTTTAGGGTTTAGGGTGGTTGAAGAATCGGCAGACTTTTCGCCGTCGGAACAGTCTGAACCTCCATGAACTCTGACAGAAGTATGTATGAGTTTAGGGTTAGGATGTTCCCCGTTGTAAGTGCTCCCTATTCTAGTCCCTATTAAGGACTGGTAGTATACGCGGGAACATCCCAAGTTTACGGTTTTGTGTGTAGGGTTGTTGAAAGGCTTAAGCTGCGGATTAGTCTATCAGTCGAACATCTGGCCAAGAGTCGTTCTCCTCGCAAACGATCCTGATGTCCCGGCCACGAGTGTTGATGCCTAGACCTTTTTGTCCCTAAACCCTAAACCCTAAACCCTTCACCTAGACCCCGAAATCTTATATCCTAAGCCCCCACAACCCCCGACCTTAAGCCCCGCTGCGGGAACTGGTGTAGGAAACCTTGAAGCCCAGAATAAGCCGGCGATTCGGGGGAATTTTGTCAAACTGTCAGGGTTTTTGAAAGCCCTAAACCCTGAACCCTAAACCCGAAACCCTCCACCGGCTTGGCTTTCGCAGCCGCTTCGGCTCCGATCTCGCCTCGGCCTCCGCATGCGCCGCAGCGCGCTCGCGCTGCGTGCGGCCGCGCGCAAAGCGATGGCGGACAAGGCCCCTTCGCCGGAGTTTACCGGGTTTAGGGTTTGGGGTTTAGGGTTCAGGGTTCAAGGTTGAGGTTTAGTCTTTTTGGTGGGGTTCTCGAGTTGGGCTTGGGAGGGATTATTTTTGGCCGTAGGGTCAGGGTGTTCAAGGGTCAGCGTCCCCGAAAATAGCCGTAGGGCATGTGTATGATTTTGCAGGCGTTGGGTTCATCTTAAATCGAACCTCTCTGCTAAGTAGCTTGGTTTCAAGGTTTACCTAAGCTCTATAAGCCCTAACCCTAAACCCTAAACCCTAAGCCCTAACCCTAAACCCTAAACCCTAAACCCTAAACCCTAAACCCTAAACCCTAAACCCTAAACCCTAAACCCTACGAAGGGTTTACAGGGTCTTGCCCCACACCCCGGGTGTGAGAACAGGCTGGGGAGAGCTTCCTGCGGCTGTCGCAGAGCGCCGCCACGACGGCCACGAAACGCGATTCGGGCGTGTTTAGGGTTTAGGGTTTAGGGTTTAGGGTTTAGGGTTTAGGGTTTAGGGTTTCGGGTTTCGGGTTTAGGGTTTAGGGTTTAGGGTTTAGGCTTTGAGATTCCCAATCCCTGAGTCCCTGAACACAGTTTAGTTCAGGGTCAGGGAATGGAGGGCCCCTCACCTTAAGGACCCTCAACCACTATTTGCTTAAGAACCCCCCCCCCCAAAAAAAAAAACAACTATAAAGACTGTAATCCCTAAATCCATGTACCTAAACAGGGAATACTTGGGCCTTAAAGCACTTCCTATATAAGGACTTTGTTTGGGGCCCAAGTATATGATCATAAGGTACACGGACCCTTAGGGAATCCCTACATTACCCTTATAAAAGAAGAACATGTTTAATGCTTTTTCGGGGGTTCTTATAAGGAAAGAGAAGGGCTCACGGGGTTGAATTCTGGGGAAGTGATCGTTGTCGCGGGCTCGGGGGCTTAGGGTTTAGGGGCGTTGCTCTTGCGGTTTTAGGGTTTGGGATTTAGGGTTGGGGGCTTGGGCGCTGAAACTTCCTGCGAACCAAACCCTAAACCCCAAACCCCCCCAAACCCTAAACCCCAAACCCTAAACCCTAAACCCCAAACCCTAAACCCTAAACCCCAAACCCCTAACCCCCCAAGCCCTAAACTAAACCCTACAGCGGTGCCGGGCTTGGGGGCTTCGTCCCCGGCCTCCAGAGTTTTTGATGTCAAGGTCTGAGCCAGCTGGGGACGATGGCGAACCAGGCGCTGAAGGCTCGCTGTTAGGGTTTTAGGGTTTCGGGTTAGGGCTTAGGGTAATGTTGGACTCGCTTTAGTGCGCAGGGCCCCCCCCCCCCCCCAAACAATTTTGGGGTTTTCGGGGATCCTGAATGCTGTGGGCTGGGGCTGGGACGGGGGCTGGGGGTAGGGCGGCTAGGGGTCAAGGGTTGAGGGGAAGCCTTGAAGCTTGAGGGTCTAAGCTTTCCAGGCTTTGTAGCTCCACAGTCGCCGGGGCCACCGAAACAACTTGCTAAAGCGAATCAGGGCAGCTCCTGGGCTACTCCCTTGGAAAATTGTTTGGGGGCCTGTTTCGTAATGAGATTTTAAAAGGAATTTAAATAAGGCTGGACACCAAAAAATCCGGAGTTTCTTATTCAAAACTTTTTTAGATTTTGGCTCCCCGGCCCCCCGCCCTTCAACCCCGGCCGGGCAAACATCGCATAATTGAGGACCACCCTAAACAATGGGGGGGTCCCCTATAGGATTTCCGGAACATCGCATAATAGTGCCCCTTCTCACTAAAGCGGGTGCAACATCAACTCTGAAGCCACAAAACGCTGCAACCCTGACGCCCCTGAAGCCCTTAGACCCCTAAACCCTTAACCCTAAACCTCTATTCACCCGAAACCCTGAAACCCTGAAGCCCCTAAACCCATAAAGCCCTTAATTAAACCCCTAAGACCCCGAAACCCTGAACCCTAACAACCTAACACCCTAAAGCCCTAAAGCCCCTAAAGCCCCGAAAACAGCTTGGCCCTAAAGCGCAGAACCCACAAACCCTGCCTCCGACATCTGGCCTCTAAACCCTAAACCCTAAACCCTAAACCCTAAACCCTAAACCCTAAACCCTAAACCCTAAACCCTAAACCCTAAACCCTAAACCCTAAACCCCCTAAACCCTAAACCCTAAACCCTAAACCCTAAACCCTAAACCCTAAACCCTAAACCCTAAACCCTAAACCCTAAACCCTAAACCCTAAACCCTAAACCCTAAACCCTAAACCCTAAACCCTGCCTTTCTGTAGCCGGTAGAGCCCTGAGCTGGCGCTTATGAGGACGGCACGCAGCGGCCATGACGCTTGGCTGCCCTTTGCTGCCATGTCTGGGGGCCTTTGGGGGATTTAGGACTTCGGGTTTAGGGTTTAGGGTTTAGGGTTTAGGGTTTAGGGTTTAGGGTTTAGGATTTAGGGTTTAGGGTTTAGGGTTTAGGGGTCTAGGGTAAGGTTGTGGGAGTGACGAGGGTTTAGGGGTTTAGTTGTTGGGGTTTAGGGTGAAGGGTTAAGGGTTAGGGTTTAGGGTTTGGGGTTTAGGGTTTGGGGTTACGGTTTAGGGTTAGGGGTTTGGGGTTTAGGGTTTGGGCCAGATGTCGGAGGCAGGGTTTGGGGGTTGAGGGCTTTGGGGGCTTTAGAGACATAGGGTTCCTCCTTTGGGGCTAAGAGTCGGGGTTCGAATGCCGAATGGACCTTGGATGTCAGATAAATGAGCGGCTGCTTGTCAAGCTGAAGCAGCTGGGTTGTCCCTTGGGATCTTTTTTTAGTTCCCCAACTTGGGCTTAAGAGGACCACATTTTTCAGAGGGCTGTTAAGAAGCCATCCTAGCCCTAAACCCTAAACCCTAAGCCCTAAACCCTAAACCCTAAACCCCAAACCTAAACCCTAGACCCTCAGGGACTCCGAAACCTTCCGGGACATGAGCATGGCAAGCGAACAACTCGCGGAATCCTTCTTTTTGTGCGCGCAAGTCCCTCTAGAACCCCAAGCCCAAACCCCCAAAGAAGCAGCCCCCAAAACCTAAACCCTAAACCCGAAATCCTAAACCCTAAACCCTAAACTTCAACCCGGCCTGAGGCGTTCATTGTGGGCAGGAACGCCTGCGCGCCACCATGTACGAGTGTACTGAGTGCAGCTTGGCTTCCAGGGCCTGTAGTAGAGGCCCAAAAAACCACAGAAACATAAGGATCCTACTATTGGGGTATAAGGGCCCTGATAAGGGGGATGCTGCAAAGGCCCGGTTTTATGTGGTTTTTTGGGGGCCCCTATGTAGGCCTTGCTTGCAGGGTTTGCAAGGGGCTTTTGGGTCTAAACCGTTTGGCTAAACCTTCAGTCCTAAACCCTAAACCCGAAACCCTAAACCCTAAACCTGGGGTTCTGAGGTTTGGGGCTGGAGGTTCAGGAAAACCCTTTTAACCCTTGACTCGACTTGTCTTTGGGCTTTGAGGGTGTAAAATACAGGAGCCGCTGTAATGGCCATTACGATCCCCCTTGAGGAAATTAGGGTTTGGGGTTTGGGGCTTGGGGTTTAGGGTTTGGAGTTTGGGGTTTGGGGTCTAGGGTCCTTATACGAGCAAAATGTAAATGCTACCCCTGCAAAACCGGCCGTTCTAGCTCAATACCCTGTGTTAGAATCCGGGGGGGGGGGGGGCTCTAGTTCTTCAAAGTGACTATGGGAATTAGGTACCTCACCTCCCACCAATCTGGCCCTTAACCCGAAGCCCTCTGATTCCCCAAAGGACTCAGACCCTTCCTTAAACCCTAATGCATAAAACCCGAATATGCAAAACCCATATATATATATATATATAACCCGAATATATAAAACCCTAATGCATAAAACCCTAAATTATATATATCTATATATATATATATATAACCCTAATATATAAAACCCCAATGCATAAAACCCTCAGATTCGTGCAGGGGGTCTATTCACTACAGGAATTAGGGGTCCCTTCGTTCGAACAGGGTTTTTAAGATTAGGGGGTGCAACCCCAAGCTCCAAGCCGTAAGCCCTAAACCCTAAACCCTAAACCCTAAACCCTAAACCCTAAACCCTAAACCCTAAACCCTAAACCCTAAACCCTAAACCCTAAACCCTAAACCCTAAACCCTAAACCCTAAACCCTAAACCCCAATCCCTTCCCCCTAACATTACCCCCCCCCCCCCCCACCTCCCCTTTAAAAATCCGAAACCTGTTTTTATAATTAGGGGGTGTTTATATCGAAATGTCATAATTCATTAGACTTCAGGGTTACTCAAGTAATCAACTTAAGTATGTGTTGTAAACTGAAAGAGAGAAAGGACGGGCCTCTAATCAAACCCTAAACCCTTAACCTTAAGCCCTAATCCCTTAACCCTAGACCCCCAACCCTAAACCCTCTGAGGGTTTTATTGGTGTTGAAGGATTTCTTGGAGGCCTGAACCCCCCTCCCCCCCTAATTCGGAATAGGGTTTTAAAGGCGGGGTTGGTTTCGGCAGGATTTTCCGGAAAGTGTTTTTATTATCAGGGTTGCATTTAATAAAAGGGGGAAGGGATTAAACTCTAAACCTTAAACCCTAAACCCTAAACCCTGCCAGAGGTCGACAGCTCTGCTGCTGGGACTGCGTCGTGATGCTGCCCTCCTTGCCCGGCCCATCCGCCGCGAAGCCCCCCTGCTGCTTGGGGTGTTGGGGTTGTACGGCTTAGGGACTGGGTAGGTGACCTTTAACCTTTCTGGTTGTATGGAATACTAGTATAGATAAACGGTTAACCTTTCTTGGGCTAGGAACCTTTCTGGTTATATAGACTACTAGTATAGATAAACGGTTAACCTTTCTTGGGCTAGGGTATTCAGCCCCTACGAAGGGGTCGCGGGGTCAACAGCTCAGTGTTTTTTTGGGGTTTGGGGTGAAGGGTTCAGGGTTTCGGGCTTCGGTGTTAAGAGCTTTGGGTTTGGGGTTTGGGGTGGCGGGTTTGGGGGTTGGGGTTTTTGGGTTTTGGAGTTACGGGTTCAAGGCTTAGGGTTTTGGTGACAAGGGTTTAGGGTCTGGAGCTTTGGGGGTTGGGGTTCAGGGTATGACAGGTTCAGGGTTTAGAGGTTTTGGAGTTTAAGGCTTCAGGGTTGAGGGTGCTGGGGTTTCGGTTTTTGGGTTCAAGGTTAGAGTTTCAGGGTTTCTCGTACAGCGCTATGAAGCTTTATCGTATGGCCCGAAGAAGCCTAAACCCAGAATAATTTTGTTTGGGGGCGGGGGGGGGGTTCTTAAGCAAATAGTAGCTGAGGGGGGGGTTCTTAAGCAAATAGTAGTCTAGGCAGGAAGCCCTAAGCCGTGAAAGCCTTCAGCAGATCTGCGTGCCTGACTTCTAAGGCGGCCGCTCAAGCTCTGCCAGGGCTGCGTGCCCTTGCTGAAGAAGAGGCTGCCCGGGTTCCTGGGCCAACCACTACACCCTGAACTCTAGACCCTAAATCCTAAACCCTAAACCTTAAACCCTAAGCCCTAAACCCTGAGCCCCTAAAGTTTAGGGAGGCCATGGTGGGGTGGGGGGGGGGGAGGGAGAGTCCTAGACGAGGGGAGGAGGCTTGACAAAGCGAGCATCCCAGCCCTTTCTATTCCCAACCCCCCCCTGCCCCCCCCCCCCCCCATTTTCACCCCCCGGGTTCAGGGCTTAGGGTTTAGGGTTTAGGTATCATATTCTGCCTTCAATGTTGCACAACATACCGAAACCCTAGACTCCTAGACCTGGGATGGAGGGTTTAGGGCTCTTGTAACCCTGGTAGAAGCCCTCTATGGCTTCCCCCCCAAGATAGGGGTGCCCTTGAAGGGTTCCGCGGCTGTCTGCCGGGGTTTCGGGCTTAGGGCTCAGGGTCTCGCATCCCCGTCTTTGCCTTCTGCGACATCCTGTTAGTCGATCCGAAAACCCTAAACCTTTGAACCCTAACCCCTAAACCCTAAACCCTATAAGCCCTATACCCTCGCTAAGAAGACCAACGCCTGCCGCAGGGTCTGCGACGCGAACATCCAACTTCGGGTGCTGAGGTTAGAGGCCTGGAGGAAGCCTTATTAGGCCTTCAGGGTTTAGGGTTTAGGGTTTAGGGTTTAGGGCTTCACTATCGTCCCCATCATTGCAAGAGTTGAGGAGCCATTTCGAGACAATGCTGTTTTTTAGGAGCGTTGGTAAATTCACGGCTTCGTTTTCAGAGGGCTTCGAGTTCAGGGGATGTTCGTGGGTTCAGGTAAACGTATCGACCCAAAACCCTGCCCAACCTGGGAGGGACAAAGAAAGCCTGAACACGAGTTGACGCTCAACCCTGACTCAGAACGACTTAAACCCCAAACCCCAAACCCCAAACCCTAAACCCCAAACCCCAAACCCTAAACCCTAAACCCTAAACCCTAAACCGGCAGAAACTATACCTAGGGTTCTGGCACGCCGCAGACTCAGGCAGCCATTGGTGCCCTGATTCCCTTGTTGAGGTTTTGCAAGTCCACCATCATCATAAATACACCCTAAACCCTACCCTAAACCCTAAGCCCTAAACCCTACAACCTCCCCCCCCCCCCCCCCCCCCCCCCCCCAAATCCCCCGACAAGAATCGGTAAAGCAACTCAAACCCTCAGCAGAAAAACCCTACATCCCCAAACTCTAAAATCCTGAAACCCCCAAGCTGGGGGCTGAGGGTTTGGGGTTTAGGGTTTAGGGTTGGGGTTTAGGGTTTAGGGTTTAGGGTTGGGGTTTAGGGTTTAGGGTTTAGGGTTTAGGGTTTAGGGTTTAGGGTTTAGGGTTTAGGGTTTAGGGCTTAGGGCTTAGGGCTTAGGGCTTAGGGTTTGGGGGTTTCTGTTCAGGATCCCTAGACTTAGGACCCAATGTAAGCCCTACTTCACTTGTTTATCGGATCAGGGTTCCCTTGTAAGCCCCTTTGAACCAAAAAGGGTGCCCTGCTATTCCTAGGTTACTCTTGGGTCTAGTATAGCGACTCTAAACCTGGCGAGCCGTTGGGCGTGGGAGGGTACCGCCTCCCAGGACAACCCCTAGATTTTAGGGGTTTTGGGTTTTGGGTTTGTTGTTTAGGGGTCTGCGGTTTAGGACCCAGAATACGCCTGTGGATCTTGGTGACTCCACGCCAATCCGCGGGCTTTTCAGGGCTTAGGGTTGGGTTCCCTTAATCTTCCAGGCCTTTCTCGCCGACAAGTTGGAGCCCTTCACCTACGATCCCGAGTCGCTTGATGGCTTTGCCTACAAAGGGGCCTTTAGGGTTTAGGGTTTATAGATTGTAAGGAACACGCACAAATTTAAGAGTATTACTGGTCCGTTCTTGGTTTTCATGCGTTCTCTCGCTCCCAAGAAAAAACCCATCTCATAAAGACAACTTCTGACATCTCGCTTGATCACCAGGTTTCGCTGTTACCTGTAGGATTCTCTCTCCAAGAGCCCCCATGGCATGCACTACTTGGAAGTTTGCTTTTGCTGCTCGTGGCGTTCGTTGCGCTCATTTGGTTCACTTCGTTCACAGGTTGCTATTAGTGCCTCTGAGTCGCGATGAAAAGAGATATGCCTAAACCGCTTAGGGTTTATAGGATGCATAGGGTTTATAGTTTTTATCGGCTTTCTAGGGTTTATAGGGTTTAGGTGCTCGAGGCCCTTAAGGGGCGTAAACCCTCAGAGAGGTTAGGGGTGGGAACCGAAGGGCTTTTGGCTTTATCCCTTTGGGGTTGGGGGGGGGTTTGCGCCTTGAGGTTACTTTCATGGAGCGCCAGTGAGCCTTAAAAACCCTGAAGTCCGAAAAGCCTCAGCTCGCAACTTAGGATTCTGGGGCTTAGAGTCTAGGGGCGCTGCAGTCCCAAACGCCCCCAACACCCCAAAACCCGAAACCCCAGATCCTAAGCCCTAAAGCTCCCTAGAGTCCCAGCACCCCTAAGCCCTGAGCCCTATAACTACCCCCCCAAGGAGCAAGCTGGATCAATCGCTCCGGCTTAGCGGCCACGTGATGACTGGCCAGGGCCTTGGACCTGTGTCGCAAAGGTTTAGGGTTTGTGGTCTAGGGTTTAGGGTTTAGGGTTTAGGGTCTAGAGTTTAGGGGCTAAGTGAACACTAGAACTGGGAGCATATAATCTATACAGCTTTGCTCCCTACTCGAAGAAAAACACAGTCTCTTTAGGGGGTGATCTCGTTCCCACAAATCCCTAAACTTGCATACCCTAGACTCTTGTATATACATATACGCATGTACATATATGTATATATATATATGCCCAGCAGCAATCTTTTACCCCCCTCAACGCCCAATAGGGTTTAGGGCTTTAAGGGCCCTGAAGCCCGATATAAACGCCCTAACCCTAAAATCCTGCATCCTGAATCCTAAACTATCCCTAAACCCTAAACCCTAAACCCTAAACCCTAAACCCTAAACCCTAAACCCTAAACCCTAAACCCTAAACCCTAAACCCTAAATAAACCCTTCCCACCGTTGGAGGCCTCAAGCAAGTGAGTGGCTTCCTGCCACTGGGCCAGGTGGCCCAGGCCTGGAGGAGCTTAGGGTTTAGGGTTTAGGGTTTAGGGTTCAGGGTTTAGGGTTACAGTTTAGGGTTTAGGGGTTTGCAAGGGATAGAAGGAGGGGCCACTACAAACCCTTCATCTTATTCCCCTATGTGACCCCTCTACATACCTTGTATTGTCCCCCTCTGCCTAAGTAGCCCCTACTAAGGGTCCCTCCCCTTGAGCTTCGTGTGGTTTTAGGGTATTTTGGGCTCAGATTTTGGGGCTTGGGGTCTTGGGCTTGGGCTGTTGAGGGTGTTTAGGGGTTTAGGAGGCGAGGGACGCAGGGTGTTCAGGGATTTTGGGTTTGGGGTTCGAGTGGGTGGGGGGGGGGGGGGGTTTGGGGAGTCGCGGGTTTAGGGGTTCGCGTGTTTTTTGGTCTGGGGTTTTTGGGGTTGAGGTCTTTTGGGGGGTTTGGGTGGGTCCATTAGCCCTACTTACCAACATCATTTCCCCTACTGGCCCTCATATTTATCCAGAACTCAGGCTATGTTCTCCTTTTCTGAAGACATGGGCCTCTCTATTCAGTTGTTCTCAGCAGCAAGTGACACTCTGGGCGGCCATTTTGCCTGGGCTGCCTTCCGACCTCACCCTTTCCACGATCCTCGTTGGGGCTGGAAGTTTGCCAGGACCTCCCTAAACCCTAAACCCTAAACCCTAAACCCTAAACCCTAAACCCTAAACCCTAAACCCTAAACCCTAAACCCTAAACCCTAAACCCTAGACCCTAAACCCTAAACCCTAAACCCTAAACCCTAAGGCTTATGTGGGGTATGTAGGGCATCCGGGGTTCTTGGGGTGTGGGTACTTGGAGCTGATAGGGCTTCGGTTTGGGAAATAGCCTGCGGGTAGTTTCATGGGCCCTTCATACGGTCCCTAGCAACCCTTCAAGGGTTCTGACGTATGGGCCCTTAGTTCGTATAGGGTATGTAAGGGGTATATAAGGGGTACCCGTTTAAGGGCCCATACTGAGGGACCGCGGAACTACCCTTCGAAAATCGGGATCCCTGGATCACCCATCCCAACCTTGTAGTTGTCAAGTGAACGGTACAGATTGGGACTCGGTAAAGATCGGGACTTGCAGAAGACGCGCCCAAAGCTCAAGACTTCCGACCTGTGCTTGGAGGTTCTAACCCACTTGTAAGTGTACGTAGTTCCGACCCACTTGGAAGCCCTTTTAAGTACCCTAACGGGGCGATAATTGGGCTATAAGTACAGTTATAAGTGGGTTACTAGGTACTATGAACCTCCAAGGGGTTTGTTTGGAGTTAGCGATAGCCCCATATACCTAAGATAACCCCCTAAAACCCCTAAAACCCCTAAAGCCCCTAAAACCTCTAAAACCCCTAAAACCCCTAAAACCCCTAAAACCCCTAAAGCCCCCAAAGCCCCCAACAGCCCCTAAAGCCCCAGATAACCCAAGGTCCCTTCTAAGGGTCCCTCCTCTGGCCCTTGATAGTGACACAGCGCGGCGCTGCCTCGGAGGCCATCAAGGCTGGGTACTACCTCGTCAGGCCCCGATGCCCCGTGGGGTCGTACAGGAGCCCGGAAGAGTTGCCGTAAGAGTTTCCTTCAGGCACCCCAAATAATATGCAATCTTCATGATAAGTCTGAACCCCTGAACCCTGAACCCCAAACCCCAAACCCCAAACCCTAAACCCTAAACCCTAAACCCTAAACCCTAAACCCTAAACCCTAAACCCTAAACCCTAAACCCTAAACCCTAAACCCTAAACCGTAAACGAAACAAAAGCATTCTGAGTCTTTAGCCTCCCTATATCTTGGGCTCAGGGATGCAGTTGGGTGTCGACTTGAGCACACGGACCCTAAACCCTAAACCCTAAACCCTAAACCCTAAACGTTAAAAACGAGCACATGTACCCAAAGATCTTGCAGCTGTCCTCGTGCCGAGGCCTAGAAGCCTAAACCTCAGGGTTTGCGGCTTAGGGTTTGGGGGTCTAGGATACTAAACCCTAAACCCTAAACCCTCAAACCCAACCCCCGCAACCCGCCAGAATCTTGTGTGCACAGAGGCAGGGCTTAAGGGGGGCCCTGGGTCGGAACTCAACCCCGAAAACTTCGTTCCCAAGCTACTTTTTGCTTAGGAGCCCTGAAAACATGAATCATAGTAATCCCTATGTTGCCTTTATAAGGAAGATGTCCTAAACCCCAAACCCCAAACCCTAAACCCTAAACCCTAAACCCTAAACCCTAAACCCTACATGTAGTGGGGAGTATCAGGGAACCTTGGGTTACATACCCCCCTTGACCCCCCCCCCCTCCGTTTAACCTCTAATCCGACAGTCGTCGCTTTTTCCGTAAGCAGCGATCACAGGGATCACGCGCGTGTCTGGCTTCATTCCTTGTGTAGTTTCGAGGGCCTAAAACACGGAATGAAAGGTACGTAGTAGCAATTACCATTGTTTCATTCAAAGAAGAAGAGAGTTTGCTGTTCCCTCAAAAAGCGAAGATGTGTTCACTGGGCAACGCAGCGCGATGGAACGTCCTCCCCCGTAAGCCCCGGCAATATGTATTACAGTTCATCGCCGTCAGCTGCAGAAAGAGGTTTTGCGTTGCTGGCTATGTTGGCATTTGCCCAGCTTTTGGGATCCTGAAAGGATTTCTTCGAAGGTTTCGAAGGAGTTCCAGTTCGGCTTGGCTTTAACCTTAAACCCTAAACCCTAAGCCCTAAACCCTTTATAAACCCTTTATAAACCCTTGAAAAAACCCTTTATAAACCCTTTATAAACCCCTTATAAACCCTTTATAAACCCTAAGATAGGATGCGACAAGCGCGGCTGGGCAAACAGGTATGGACCGCTGATTCTTGCGGGCAATGAAATCATGGAGGCGGCTTGGACATCATGAGCTTTTGTTGCTTAGGGTTTAGGGTTTAGGGTTTAGGGTTTAGGGTTCAGGGTTTAGGGTTTAGGGTTTAGGGTTTAGGGTTTAGGGTTTTGGGTTTTGGGCGTGTGGGGCTTATAAGGGCTTAGGTTCCCTCCAAACGCTAGGTCACTCCACAAGAAGGACGATTGTATGTTCTAGTGGAAAGAGCTTTTTACATTCGACCCTTATTTGTTTTTGGATAGGGTTGGCTTTAGGGCAGGACCTCAAAAAACATCTACAGTTCACACTCTGCACCCTAAAGTCCTAAAGCCTGAACCCCCCCAATTCGCTTCACCCCCCCCCCCCCCCCCCAACGCCCCATTCTCGAAAAGGCCCAAAACCTCAACACCCTAAACCCATAGTCAATTGACAAGACATGCCGCCAGTGTCTGCTCGTTGGCGTATCTCGTGAAGGAGTCTGAGGGCATACAGGAAAATCCTTTAATGTCCAACCCCCAGCCAAAAACCCTCATGAGCTCCCCCCCCAACCTCCTTGCGAAAACCTCCCTCCCCACAAATTTTGTAGGGCTTGGCGGGTTTGGGGTTTAGAGTTTAGGGTTGAGGGTGTGAACTTTAGGGTTTGGCTTAGATGTAAGGGTTTATAGGCTTACAGGGTACCAAAAAAAAAAGGGGCCCCCTATTACAGGGTACCCAAAAAAAAGAGGGGCCCCCTACTGATTTAGAACTATTCCGAGAAGGCATCTTTTTTGGGGAGGGCGGGCGGCTAAAAATGAATCGGAGGGGCATTTGCATCGTTTGCAGCATCCAGTGCTTAAAGCACAGCTAAGCACGGGGTCTCGCTGCTCTGTGCTTTGTTGGGCTTGTGTGATGCATCAGCTCCCTCGCCGCCATGCCATAAACCCTGAACCCGAAACCCCAAACCCTAAACCGCCAAACCCCAAACACTGAACCCTAAACCCAATAGCCCCGAAACCTAAACTCCACACCCCCAAACCACAAACACTAGGCACCCCCTAATCCCTGAAACCCCCTAAACCCCTAGACCCCAACAAAAGCCCCTGACACCTAGACCCCCCAAAAACGGTTCAGGATTTAGAGTCTGGGTTTAGGGCTTAAGGTTTTTCGGTTTTAGGGTTTAGGGTTTAGGGTGCCCTAGACCCCGAAAACCTCTGAACCCTAAATCCCAAGCACCGAAGAAGTCCCCGGCCGCCAGTCCTTCCAGCTGATTGTGGGCCTGGCCCGGAAGCTGGAGCCACGCAGCCGCACCATCTGGGGTTTAGGGTTTAGGGTTTAGGGTTTAGGGTTTAGGGTTTAGGGTTTAGGGTTTAGGGTTTAGGGTTTAGGGCTGCCCTTGAAGGCAATTGAAGCGGCCCCCTAAACTCAGTCGTTCAGCCCAATAACAGGCTGAAACCCGGTGAAGCCCTAACACCCTAAACCCGACACAACCCTAAGCCCCAAACCCTAAACCCTAATCCCGAGACAATCCTAAGCTGTAAACCCTAACCCCTGGACAACCCTAAGCCCGAAACCCTAAACCCTCACAACAGAAAGCCCTTTTTTTAGCCCTGTAAAGCTGGTGCGGTTTTCAGGATACCTGCCTACGGTCAGCTCCTCTCCCCCGACTTCTTCGCCGGGCTCTACTACACCATGGGCGAGCACTGGGGACAGCGAGGTGGGAGAGAGTGGGGTGGGTTCGGGATTTAGGGTTTAGGGTTCAGGATTTAGGGGTTAGGGGTTAGGGATTTAGGGTTCAGGGACCAGGCATTTCAGGGTGGAGGATTGGAGAGTCATTCGGTGCCGCATGGTGATGGACCCAGTGGCGCGTAATGTCTGCCCAGGAATGTGAAGGGTTTTCTCTGTGATTATAGGGGTTTAGGGTTTGGGGTTTAGGGGTTTAGGGTTTAGGGGTGTAGGGTTTAGGGAAGGTGAAGAAGAGTGGCGCAAGCTGGTCAAGTGCCTGTCCAAGTTCGCCGCAAAGGGAGTTCAGAAAGGTATCGAAATTCATTTGGAACAAGCTGAGTGCAGAGCAACGAGCCGCGACGAGTGAAGCCAAACAGTTGGAGGTGAAGCAGTGGCTCCTCACAGCAGCTCGTAAGGCGGCGGCAGATGTTGTCCCAGATTAATTCAATTGCTGCGCATGAGCTGGGTATGAACATTCAAAGGAACAGATGATCCACAGAAGGTCAAGGCGAAAGCGAGGATGGTGATCCTGGGCTTCAGTGATCCCTCGCTACTTGAACTTCAGACTGCATCACCGACACCCTAACACCCTAAACCCTAAACCCTACATGCCCTAAGCCCTAAACCCCACATGCCCTACATCCCACAGAAAAGAGGCTGAACCTCTGAGTGCACAAGCTCCCTCAGCCGGTGTGGCCCTAAACCAGAAACGCCCACCCAAAACCTTAAACCCTAAACCCTTAAACTCAAACCCTAAACCCTGAGCCCTAAACCCTAAACCCTAAACCCTAAACCCTGAACCCTAAACCCTAAACCCTAAACCCCCCTAAACTTTAAACGCCCTAAAGAAGCACCCTGAGCACCAATAACCGAAGCGTAGACCCGAAGCCCGCTAAACCCTACGCCCCCAACACACTAAACCCTAAACCCTACACCCCTAAACCCTAAACCCTAAACCCTAAACCCCATAAACCTATAAACCCTAAACACGGAACAACAAACTAGGCGCCTTCTCTGCTCGCACAGGTCGGACGCCCCACCTGGAGGCCTTGGCGCACACCGAGCCCTCAGGCGCCGGGCGGGGGTTGAGATCTGGGTTTCAGAGGTGTTTTGGGTTTAGGGTTTGGGGTTTAGGGTTTAAGGTTTAGGGTTTAGGGCTAGGGTTTTGGGTTCTGGTTTAGGGTTTGAGGGCTTTGGGGCTTGTTAGGGGAGCTTAGGGGACTTTGGGCAGGGGGTCGCCACATCGGTGATGATGCTCTGTGGAGGATTAGGGGTTCAGGGCTTAGGGTTTAGGGGCTTCGAGGACCCAAGAATCCTACCCTAAGCCCTAAGCCCTAAACCCTAAACCCTCAACCCTCAACCCTCAACCCTCAACCCTACAGCCTCAACCCGACAGACGCGAGCAGCTCCTGGATCGCTTCTACAGCGCAGGACCCCGTTTTCGGAAAGAGGGAACCACATTCCTCAAGCTCGGAAAGGCTTCGGGCAGCAGACTTGGTCTCCGGTTCCAAGACTACGCCCGCGACTTGCAAGGCGCCCTGGAACCCGAACACCCCAAAACCCCAAAGCCCTTAACCCCCTTAAACCCTAAACCCCTCATAAACCCTTAGACCCTAAAACCCTAAAACACGAGTAAACCCTGATTAACCCTAAAACCCTCAAACTTAAACCCTAAACCCTTAAGCCCCCTAATAAGCCCTTGCCCTTAAAACCCTGAAGCTCTGAAACCCCTAAAACCTAATAAAACCCTTAAACCCTAAAAATGCCCTAAAACCCTAGTAAACCCTGAAACCCACATCCCCCTAAAGCCCTCAAAGGTACAACCTTCCAAGATAAAAAAAAAAACCCTAAACCCCGAATAAACCCTTAGCTCCTTAAACCCTCAAACCCTTAAAAACCCAAAACCCTTAAACCCTTAACTCCTTAACTCCTTAAACCCTTAAGAACCTAAAAACCCTACACCCTAAACCCTAAACCCCAAAACCCTAAACCCGAAACCCCAAACCCTAAACCTCAAAGTACAAAGCTCCGCTATGCGCCCCGCTGGAGGTGGGATCCCCTCTCCAGATCGAGGCCCCTGGCGTGCTGTGTTTGCCCTGCCAGAACCCCTCAAGGGTTCGGGCTTTACATTATATGTACATGTATATGTATATGCATATATGTATATACGATATATATATATACATATATATGTATAGAAATGGTTTATTTGTTTTCATTCCTTTACTTGTTTATTTACTCCTTGATTTCTTGATATGTTTTGTATTTTTTTTTTTGGGAGGGGGGTTGGGGGTTGTTTGTGGGGATTTTGGGGTTTTAGGGCTTGGGGGGTTTGGGGGCGTTGTAGGGTTCTAGGGGTTTGGGGTTTAGGGCACAGGCTTTCGGGTTTTGGGGGTTTAGGGGTTTCAGGGTTTAGTGTTTAGGGCTCTGGGGTGTTTTAGGGTTCTGGGGCTTTGCGGGTTTCAGGGCTCTGCAAGTTCTAGGGTTTTGGGGTTTTTTAGGGTTTACCGTAGAAATGAACTATCCCGTTTTGGGGTCTGGGTGTTTGTAACGGGCTTGTTGCTTTCAGGGCTTGGGGTTCTTTGAGGTCTCTCATGGTTCGGAGTTTATGCCTTTGAGGGTTCAAGGCAAGACAAGCCAGTGACTGAATTACCCTCCCAAGGGTCACATTAGCGACGGAAACTCCATTTCCCGAGACAGCCCTAAGCCCTAGACCGCAAACTCTTGGGATGTTCCCTCTTATACTAGCAGTCCGCAATAGGGATTATATTACCCCCTATTATAATCCCTATAAAGGACTGTTAGTGCAACCTGAACCCAACACCCCAAACCTTTGGATTGAGGGAGCTTTTGGGAGTATAGGGTTGGGTCCTTACACCCTGTAAGCCCTTTAGTAAACCTTTCAACGGCTCTGGGGCAACGTGGCGGGCAGGAACGCTCCTCACGCTGAGACATCTCACGCGGCTTCTCCTCGTATCCAAGGACCCAGGGAACCCTAAACCCTAAACCCGAAGAGGTTAGGGTTTAGGGTTTTTGTATTTTTTTCGGATAAGCCTGTAGGTTTTATTATGGGGACTACAAGGCCTAATAGCCCATCCTGGTAGCACTTGGGGGTTGTACGGTTGGGAGCTTGGAGCTCCTTTTTTTGGGGGGGGGCTTTGGGGGGCTTTGGGGGTTTTCAGGGCTTCATGCAAGGATCAGCTTTAGACATGGTTTATGACCCACCTGTGCCCCGAAAACCTAAACGGTTTAGGGTTTAGGGTTTAGGGTGTAGGGTTTAGGGTTTAGGGTTTAGGGTCTAAACTCTAAACCCATGATGTTCGGGTTTCTAGCTGGGGGATGCGGCCAAGTCGTTCGGCAGGAGCCGTCGCCGACAGATGCTCAGCGTTTGCTGCGGCAGGCACACCAGGATCATAGGCTTCCCTACTACCCCCCCTCATACTACCCCAGCATCCCCCCCTTTAACAGCCTTAGTTAGGCTTAATTCCCGAATTATGGGCGGAACCTAGCAAGGGTGGTGGTTTTGGAGGGGGGTAGTAAGGGAATCCATGGCTGGACCCTGAACGGCTCAACCCCTCAAGGCCACTCAACACAGCCCTCAACCCCCAAACCCTCAACCCCTACAACGCAAACCTCCACGCCCCCTCGGCTTCGAAAAATCGTCTAAACCCCTCCTACACCTAAACGTCTAAACCCCGCAGCCTCTAAACCCTCAACCCTCATCTGCTGTGGTTTTGGCAACTTAGGGCTTTCAGAGTTTAGGGTTTGAGGGTTTTAGGGCTGCAGAAGCCCTTAAGCCCTTAAGCTTCTAAACCCTTAAACGCTAAAACCCTACAAACCCTAAATCCATCCCTACAAACCCTACAAACCCTACAAACCCTACAAACCCTACAAACCCTACACACCCTACAAACCCTACAAACCCTACAAACCCCAAAAGCCCAAAAAACCCTACAAACCCTACAAACCCCTAAACCCCCAAAACCCGACAACCGCCCGCCCCAAAAAGCCGGCTAGTTTCCCTTGTAAAGTAGCCAGCCCCCAAAACCGAGCCCCTGAACTCAGAAACCCTAAACCCCCCTAAGCCCTAAACCCTAAGCCCTAAACCCTAAACCCTAAGCCCTAAACCCTAAACCCTAAACCCACTCAGCCTCTGGGGAGAAAAGGCGATGCCCGGCTCGGAGCTCCTCCTCGCGGAGCTCTCCTCGGCGTCTACCATCCCATCCTTCTTCCTGGCTCCTTGGCCCTTTTTTGGGTGGGGGGGGGGGGGGGGGTGGTAGGGTTTAGGGTTTAGGGTTTAGGGTTTAGGGTTTGAGGGTTTAGGGGCTCGGGGTTTTGGGGTTTCAGGGGGTTTCGGGTGCAAGGCAGTACCCTCCGAGGGTGTCAAGTAATCGCTGCAGGGTCATTGGATCTGGGGATGGCCAAGGAGTTGGGCATGAGTCACACTCGACGCCCCCACCCCCCCTCCCCCCCCCGGGAAAAAAAAAAAGAGAGAAAAAGCGAAAGCGCCAGTTTAAGGTATAGGTTTCGGGGAGTTTTGGTTGGAGTTCAGGGCTTGGGGCTGAGGATTCGGGGTGGAAAGCCGAAGTTCTGACCCTGAGCCCTGCACCCGCACAGTCCTCTGCCCAGGCCCCCCACACACACACTCAAAGTGCGCATGGCTTTTGGGGTTTAGGGGTAACCCTTAAACCCTACTAACCTTGAAGCTCTAAAACCCTAAACCCTTCAACCCTAAGCCCCTACTAAACCCTAAAACACTCAATAAACCCCTAAACCCTTGAACCCGAAAACCCTTATTCCCTGAACCGTCTTTGTCCAGGTCTGCTCTCGGACCGCCCATGCTGCATACCTGGTCCTCCCTGGAACGCGGAATCCCGCGGACACGTGCCAGTGCTAGCACCATGCTGGGCAGTTCAGGGGCAGCTCGTGCTTTAGGGATATTTCGGGCTTATATTCGGGATGTTTAGGGCTCAGGGCATTGCATTCGTGGTTTAGGGACATATTTGGGGCTTAGGGCATTGCATTCACTCAAGGCTGGAAACAACGATCAATGCGTTTGCTCAATGCTTCTGGCCTGTTCGTGACCCCAACGAACTCTGCAAAACCTGTAAACCCTGTCGACCCTAAAAATCCCGATCGCTCACCCCGAGCCCTAATGACAACCTAAGCCCTTGACCCAGCTTTTCTGAGCACTGGGCAGGACCTTGCCACCGACTTCAACGCCGCAGAGGAGCCGTCTCTGAAGCAGCAGAGAGGGTTTAAACGGCTTTGGGCTTTAGGGTCTGTAGGGTCTGTAGGGTGTGTAGGGTGTTTCGGGTTTAAGGTTTGGTTCAGGTTCAGGTTTTAGTTTAGGGTTTAGGGTTTAGGGTTTGGGGTTTGGGGTTTTGCAGGGTTTTGCAGGGTTTGCAGGCTTCAGCTTCCCTTCGTTTGAAGTCGGCCCGACGCTGATCCTTGCAAGTGCCGCTGGACCTCCGTGTAAGGCCCTTAACTACTCGAGTCCTGCCCTGAAGCCGGGTCGCCTCCATCCTCACCCTTGCTCTAAGGGCAGTTTCGTGGGCCCGGAACATGGTCCCTTGCCCCCGTAAAATGGGTTCTGAAGTGCGGGCCCTCAATTTTTATAGGGTATATATATATATACATACATAAGGGGTATATAAGGGTCCCCATTGAAGGGCCCATACGAAAAAAAACCAACTCCACAACCCTAAAACCCCAAAACCCCAAGCCCCTAAACCCTCAAGCCTAGTACATAGCCTTAGCCCCTCAACCCTGAACCCTGAAACCCTGAACCCCAAACCCAAAACCCCAAACCCAAAACCCTAAATCCCAAACCCTAAACCCTAAACCCCTAACCCCTAAACCCCAAACCCTAGACCCCAAACCCTAAACAAGTTCTTGCAAGTCCCCTGAGCCACCGGCTGCCCGCCATCGCAAGGTTCGGCGACGGCCTGGGCCACAGAGGCATGGTCCAGCTTCTCGGACGGTTTAGGGTTTAGGGTTTAGGGTTTAGGGTTTAGGGTTTAGGGTTTAGGGTTTAGGGTTAGGGTTCAGCTTCTCGGACGTGGCTTAGACACTCCCAAGGGCTTCGGGTTCAGGGTTTACGGTTTGGGGCCTAAGGGTTGAGGGTTCAGGGTATGGGGTGTTGGGTTTTGGGGACCCCAAGCCCGAAACTCTATAAAGCCGTAACCCCAACCCCCCCAAACCCAGACCCACGAGCAGTTCAAAGCTGCAGAGGTCAGGGTTGGCGGCTGGTAGGCCTCTATCTTCACTCCCCTGCTTGGAGGTTCGTGGGTGCAACCCTAAACCCCTAAACCCTAAACCCTAAACCCTAAACCCTAAACCCTAAACCCTAAACCCTAAACCCTAAACCCGTAAACCCTAAACCCCTAAACCCCGTCTTTGATCAGTTTCCTTAGATCTCCAACTGTCTGCAAGTGCAAGATGGTGGTTTCACGCTATCACCAAGCCGGACTCCACCACAATCAATCGCTGGCCTAAACCCCTGAACCCCTGAACCCCTAAACCCCTAAACCCCTAAGCCCCTAAACCCCTAAAACCCTAAACCCCTAAACCCCTAAACCCCTAAACCCCTAAACCCCTAAGCCCCTAAACCCCTAAACCCCTAAACCCCTAAACCCCCAAACCCTAAACCCTAAACCCCTAAACCCCTAAACCACTAAACCCCTAAACCCGAGCTCAGGTCGGCGCAGTGGCTCATGGAGGAGATGGGCTCCATCCTCATCCAGCTGTACACGGAAGGCCTCGGTGGCTTTTTAGGGGTTGAGGGGTTGAGGGGTTTAGGGCTTGGGGTTTAGGGGGTTAGGGTTTTAGGGTTTGGGGTTTCGGGGTTTCGGGGTTTAGGGGTTTACGGGTTGAGGGGTTGAGGGGTTTAGGGGTTTAGGGGTTTAGGGGTTTAGGGGTTTAGGGGTTTAGGGTTTAGGAAGGCGTCGGTGGTTTCGCTTTTGGGTTTAGGATTTGGGGTTTAAAGTTGGGGTTTATGGGTTTATGGGTTTAGGGTTTAGGGTTTAGGGTTTGCAATCGGGGCATCAGAGAGGCTCGGCGGGTTCGATGGCTTTCGGTTTCTTGGTGTTTGGGGGTCACATTGGGGCAAGGGGCGTAAGGTGGAAGCGCTTAGGGTTTAAGGACTTTAGGTGTTTGGTGTTTGGGGGTTCAGGGGTTTAGGGGTTTAGGGTTTGGAGATTAGTTTCAGGGAATGCGGCGGGTCTTAGGGGTTCACAATTTTAGGCTGTGGGGTGTAGGGTTTAGATGCGGAACATGGAGGAGTCTTTGTTAAGGAGTTGGGCTTCAAAGGAGGGTCTGGGCCGCAAGGGCAGCCCATCAAGCCGCGAACCCTAAACCGCCTAATCCCATCTAAACGAAACCCACTAAACCCTCTCAAACCTCAACCCTAAAGTGCCCACAATCATTCTGAACGAAAACCCGCTAAAGAATCTAAAACCTAAACTGTAAACCTACAGTAGGATACTTTAGGTTTAGGACACCCTACAGCCCTGCAGGCTACAGAGTCACCATCGTCGGGCACTCGCTGGGGGCCGGCGTGGGTGCCCTTCTGACTCTGCTGCCCGGGCGGCAGAGAGCGACCCCCAAGCAACAAGCCCCAAGCCCTAATGTTTAGGGTTTAGGGTGTAGGGGTTTAGGGTTTAGGTCTTAGAGGGTAGGGTTTAGGTTTGTTCTTGAACCCTGACCCTATGGGGTCAGAAGACCCCTCCCTTGAAGCCTCTGAAGCCCAAAGCATGATCTCTGGACCCTGCAAAGCCCTCTGTACGCTCCGCAAACCCTGTAAACCTCAAAAGGAAACGGGTAAAGCCCTATATAAGCCCCATCAACCCCCACAAAGCTCGTTTAGGGCTTAGGGCGCAGTTTGCGTTCCCATGTTCATGATTTCAGCCTCGGGAAAGCGAACACGCATGCCAGCATTCATGCTCGCAGGGAGAGGCTGCAGGAGTACCTCAGCATGAAAGCAATGTTGCGAGCCCCTCGAACCCCTATGAACCCTCATGAATCCTAACCCCTAAACCCTAAACCCTAAACCCTAAACCCTAAACCCTAAACCCTAAACCCTAAACCCTAAACCCTAAACCCTAAACCCTAAACCCTAAACCCTACACCCCAAACCACCCAAACCCTACAAGCCAGTGGATGCGCACCGTGAATCTAAGAGTAGTTGCATGGGCCCTTGACATGGTCCCTTACCTTCTTGCGAGGGTTTAGGGTTTAGGGTTTAGGGTTAAGGGTTAAGGGTTTAGGGTTTAGGGTTTAGGGCTCGAAAGGGTAGTGAAGTATGGGCCCTTGGGGTTTACGGGGTATCCCCATTGAAGGGCCCATACTAAGGGATCATGTAACTTCCCCAAGACTCAAGACTCTAAACCCCGAACCCCCAAACCCCAAAACCCCCAAAACCCCAAAACCCCTAAATCCCAAACCCCAAAACCCCAGAACCCCTAAACCCCAAAACCCCTAAACCCCAAAACCCCAAAACCCTAAAACCCTAAACCCTAAACCCTAAACCCCATACTAAGAGGCCATGTGACTTCCCTTCGATTTAAACAACCGTGGGGGGCGCGCCAAGGATGCTCCGACCCCACATCTCCACCATCTGCGCCTCGGAACTTTTTGGTCCACACAATGGTTTAGGGTTTAGGGTTTAGGGTTTGGGGTCTAGGGTTTAGGGTTTAGGGTTTGGGGCTTTAGGCTTTGGTAAGGGTTTGAGGCTTTAGGGTTTAGGGGTTTTTCAGTTTGGGGCTTCCGGGCGGGTTTGAGGGCTCAAGGGGTTTATTGTTTGGGGCGGAGGGGTTTTAGGTTTTGACGGCTGGCTCTAGGGGTTTACGGCTCGGGTGCTTGGCGTTCCGTTTTGTTGCTTCAGGGGGTTTAGGGTTAGGGGTTTAGGGTTTGGGGTTTAGGGTTTAGGGTTTAGGGTTTAGGGTTTAGGGTTTAGGGTTTAGGGTCTCCAGGCCGCTCTTGGACTGTGTGAGGCATCATGTGTAAAGCTACTTGGGTTGTTTAAGGAGAGCCCACATTAACCCTCAACCCCCTAAACCCTTAAATCCATCTCAAGAGTTCCCTAGAACCCTCAATTATAAGAGCCCATATCAAAAATACCCGACAAAACCATAAAAGGCCACCCGAAACTGCTGGTGCTCCTGCCATCTTCCACGCCATCGGGTTTCTGGCCACGCGCGTCGGCGAAGCCTCGCACCCTGGGCCGACTGACCCCTGGGCGTCCTACCTTGGCTCAGAGAGCCAAAAAGCCAGTGTCAAAATACAAGCAAGTCCACGCAGCCGGATCCCCAGCGTTCATCGCGGACTACATGCAAGCTCGACACGAGTCCGCTCAAGGAAGCTGATGGTTTGGATGCTCTCACACCTGACCAATTTTGTGAGAGCGCCCGTCGAGGAGACGAACTTTGGGTCACCCTGAGCGCCGTCTCGGAAACACGTTTTAGAAGGGTTTAGGCATGAGGGTGTAGGGTTGATAGGGTTTACCTGGGGCCCTTTTCACCTACAGACTCGTATTAAGTATCCCCTACTTAGCAGGTATAAACCTTAAAATTGTAAGTAAAGAGGGTGCCAGCAGGGGCTTCTGGGGTTTGGGGTTTGCGGACTCTGCGGCTGAGGGCTTATCGGGATTCGGGGTTGCGCCCCCTCAACCTCTCGCACACCTCAACTCGGGATGTTCCCGCTTTTACTAGCCGCTCTTATGAGGTAGGGATTACAGTACCCCCTATTGACTTCCTTATGAAGGACTGTTAGTACAAGGGGGAACCTATACCCTAAACCCCGAACCCCAAACCCCGAACCCTAAACCCTCAACCACCCAAACTCCCTGGGATCCCGAGTCTGCTACGGCTTCGGAACGCCTGCCTGCGTGGACGAAGCGCTTCTGGGCAGCTTCATGACGACCCTAGATCCTACTTGGAGGTCCAGGTACTTAGTAACCCAATGATACCTGACACGTATAATCCACTTATAAGCCTCTTGAGTGCTCCAACATGGTTATAAGTACTGTTATCATTGGGGTTACTAAGTACCCTGAATTGGGTTTTGGGTTTTGGGTTTAGGGTTTAGGGTAGGGCTTAGGGTTCAAGATTGCAGGGTTTGGGCCTTTGCGCCTGGGGAGTCCCAACTCTACACCGTATACAGCCCTGAAGGCTATTCTCTCCATGTGAAAACTTCTTTTAGAGCAGGCATTCCTGTATGAGGAATCCCCATCTTTGTTATTGCCACTGCGTTCTGTGTTCTTGCGTCAACCCCTTTATGCCCCGCACCTAAAGGGGAGGAAGTCGCAAGCGGATGCCGCCAAGAATGAACCCAGCACGCCGCATTGTGCCATTGCGAGAACGGCCAAACATGGTTGCTTGCTTCACGAAGGCGGGAAGCCGAGCAAATCAGCATCGATCTCGGACACGCTGGTCACGTTAAGTGGGTGGAAGCAACGACAGGCCATGGCCTGCGCAGATACGCCAAAGCCTGCTGGTGGCAGGTGCACGACGCCGTCGCAACCGTGACGGGAGGTCTTTAGTAAGAGGCTTAGTTCCTTTCCAGAAAAAGGGGGGTTTCCGAAAGGGGGTTCCTATAATTAGGATTATAGTATTGGGGGCCCCATATGTCTCAGGAAATTTCCAAAATGACTCACATGAATCCTTTCCCAAGTGAATCTTGTTTCAAATGAATCCCTAAACCCTAAACCCTAAACCCTAAACCCCCTCCAGTGTGTCTGAACTACATAGACGAGAACCCCTTCCAAGCGGATCCCTTCAAAGTGTCTGAAGCGATTTTCTTCCGAAGTGTCTGAAATGGGGGGGGGGGGTTTCCGGGAAAAGGCGCAGCCTTTTTCGGGGGTCACCTTCATGAGTGGGATTCTATTCTAATTGGGGTATAAAAGCCTAAACCCTAAACCCTAAACCCTAAACCCTAAACCCGTACCCCTATGTTGGGAAATTCCCAAGCGACTTTCCTCCAAAGTGTCCCTTCCAAAGTCGGCGGCGTGTCGACTCGAAGGTTCATGGAGTGTTGCTCCTCCATATCGAGAGCACCGCCCCCCCCCCAAAAAAAAAAACAACAATAAATATATAAATAAATATATAAATATATAAATATATAAATATATATATATATATATTATATATCTATATATTCATGGTTCCCCTTAACCCTAAACCCTAGTTAAACCCTAAACCATAAACCCTAAACCCTTAATCCCAAACCCTGGACTGGGCCGAAGCCCTAGGCGGGAGTAGCCTCATTGCTGGCAGCGTTCCAAGGTTGCTGCCCAGCCTTCTCACCTGCATGGTTTCGGCTGCTGGGCTTCGAAGGTTCAGTTTTCGTTTTTATTTTTGTTTTCGGGTTTCGGGTTTCGGTGTTTTTGGGATGTTTTGGAGGTGTTGCACGAGAATTAGCGCCGCCCGAAAGCTGTTGCCACCCAGCAATGAGGAACAAAGACATCTGGGGTTTCCGAAATTAGGGGTACCTTACTGGGGTCCTTACATAATAAGGGAATCCTAGGATCTATATTGGGGATCCCTTATTCTCGTAAGCCCACAAATGGAAGATGACGTGAGGTCGTCATCTACATCCCTAAACCCTAAACCCTAAACCCTAAACCCCAAACCCCGTACCCCAAATCCAAGGTCGTCAACCGAGACGACATCGTTCCACGCCTCAGTGTCCGCTCCGTTCAGGTGCGCCTTGTAAGACCAATCCCTGACCCTCCCCCTGCAACTTTACCAATCCCCGCTCCCCCAAATAGTAGGGTTTAGGGTTCAGGGTTTGGGGTTTGGGGTTTCGGGTTTAGGGGGTTTAGGGTTTAGGGTTTAGGGTTTAGGGTCGATGGCAAGAGCCCTCAATGTGCCAGGTTGGGGGGAGGAAGTTCCGGAACATCTAGTGGTGACCTCGCAGTTTGAAGAACCCTGGGCCCTAAACCCTAAACCCTAAACCCTAAACCCTAAACCCTAAACCCTAAACCCTAAACCCTAAACCCTAAACCCTAAACCCTAAACCCTAAACCCTAAACCCTAAACCCTAAACCCTAAACCCTAAACCCTAAACCCTAAACCCTAAACCCTAACCTAAACCCTAAACCCTAAACCCTAAACCCTAAACCCTAAACCCTAAACCCTAAACCCTAAACCCTAAACCCTAAACCCTAAACCCTAAACCCTAAACCCTAAACCCTAAACCCTAAACCCTAAACCCTAAACCCTAAACCCTAACCCTAAACCCTAAACCCTGAACCCTAAACCCTAAACCTTAACCCCAAACCCTGGCAGCGTGAAGCCCGAGGCCCTAAAGGGTTTTTGCGGTCAGGGCTGGCCTCCCCCCCCCCTCCCCCGGCAATGGCACACTTGTCCCCTCTGCTTAGGGATGCTTATGGTTTAGGGTCGAGGGTCTAGGGTCTAGGGTTTGAGGGTTTAGGGTTTAGGGTTAGGGGTTTAGGGTTTAAGCACCATGAAGCAAAAAGAGTTCCTTTTCTCCTCCATGGCCAGCAGGACCTTAAACCTTTGAACCGCAAACCCTACTGTAACCCCAAGCCTTCAACTTCAAACCCTAAACCCTAAACCCTAAACCCTAAACCCTAAACCCTGCAGCCAGAAAGCCCTGGACCCTAAGCCCTAGACCCTTCCTTAGAAGGCTGCAGGGCCTAACCCTAAACCCCCCGAAACCCCCGAAACCCCCCGAAACCCCCCGAACCCCCTAAACCCCCTAAGCTCCCTAAACCCCCTAAGCTCCCTAAGCCCCCTAAACCCCCCAAACCCCCCAAACCCCCCAAACCCCCCAAACCCCCTAAACCCCCTGAACCCCAAGCCCCCTAAGCCCCCTAAGCCCCCGAAGCCCCCTAAACCCCTAAAACCCGCAGTAGCAGGAGCTCGTTGACAGCGTCCTGTGCCCGGGGCAGGTGGCAAAGACCCAGGCCGGCCCGGGAGGGTTTTGAGGGGTCGAGGGTTTGAGGGTTCTAGGGTTTTAGGGTTTGAGGGTTTGAGGGGGCTTGAGGGGTATGAGGCTTTGAGGGTTTTTACTAAACCCTAAACCCTAAACCCTAAACCCTAAACCCTAAACCCTAAACCCTAAACCCTAAACCCTAAACCCTAGGGTTTAGTTTTAGGGTTTTAGAGTTTTTAGGGTTTTAGGGTTTTGGGGGTCAACGTGGGGCTTGCTGCAATGCCGGCTTTAGGGCTTCCAGGTTTTGGTCGGGGGAGTTCAGGGGTTGAGTTTAGGGTTTCGGGTTTAGGGCTAGGGTTTAGGGTTTAGGGTTTAGGGTTTAGGGTTTAGGGTTTAGGGTTTAGGGTTCAGAGTTTAGGGTTTAGAGTTGAGCCCTTAAACCCCTGGAAGCCCTAAACCCTATGCCTGAACCCGTAACCCCTCCAGGCCTGGATGAAGGAGGACTGGCAGGCGGTGAAGGAGCGACCCGACCATCTGGGAGTTGGGGAGTTTGGGGGGTAGGGTTTAGGGTTTAGGGTTTAGGATTTAGGATTTAGGGTTTAGGGTTTAGGGTTTAGGGTTTAGGGTTCAGGGTTCAGGGTTCAGGGTTCAGGGTTCAGGGTTCAGGGTGCAGGGTTCAGGGTTCAGGGTTCAGGGTTCGGTTTTTTGAGATTTGGGTTGTGGGGGGTGGTAGCTGTCTTGGAATCCGAACAACCGAACCCCCAACACCCTTGCAACTGCGGGGGCCCTTCCAGAGTAATTAGGATGCCCGTTTTCAAAAACCTGCTCGAACCCGAACACCCTAAAGACTCAACCCCAACACACTACCACCCTAGACCCTATAAAAACCCCCAAGCTAGGGTTTAGGGTTTAGGGTTTAGGGTTTAGGGTTTAGGGTTTAGGGTTTAGGGTTTAGGGTTTAGGGTTTAGGGTTAGGGTTTAGGGTTTAGGGTTTAGGGTTTGGGGTTTGGGGTTTGGGGGTTGGGGATTCTATGTTTTCGGGTTCAGGGCTCCAGGACTTGGAGCGCGTGGTCGAGCTGCGGCGCCGCGGCGGGCCGTCCACGGAGGACCCCGGTCTGACTGTGCGCTGCTGACACCTCTTTAAGCCCCTTACTTAAGAACCTAAACCCTAAACCCTAAACCCTAAACCCTAAATCCCCCCCAAATTCGGGAAGCTCCAAACCCCTAGACACCCAGAAGACTCCAAGCGCCCACTAAGACACCCCGAAACCGAGGGCCTTAAGCTAAGCCTCCTGAATCCCCTAAACCAATTAAACCCTAAACCTCCTAAGTCTCCTAAACTTAAAAACCCTCAACCGCCCAAGTCCCCTAAATCCCCGAAACCCTAAACCCTAAATCCCACCCCCAAACCTCGAAACCCTAAAACCCTAAACCCCTAGAACCCTAGATCCCTAACCCTAAACCCAAACCCTAAACCCTAAACCCTAAATCCCTCAACCCCAGACCCCAACACGAGCCGTGAGGGCGCGCCCGACTCCAGCGATGCCGGGGCAGCTCAGGACCTTTGGGATACGAAGTTGCTTCCTTGCTATTGGGGTTTTAGGTTAGGTTTTAGGGTTTAGGGTTTAGGGTTTAGGGTTTAGGATCTAGTTTTAGGTTTCAGGTTTGGGGGTTTTAAGGTTCTGGGTTTTCGGTTTTAGGGTTTGGGGTTTGAGGCTTGGGGGCTTAAACCATGACAGGGGTCCTGCTTTTTTCCTAGGCTCCTGAAGACCTGGGGCTTTCTAGGAGTTAGGGTTTAGGGTTTAGGGTTTAGGGTTTAGGGTTTAGGGTAGAGATTTATGGTGATTGAGAAGCCAACTTGTGAACTTTAACCGAGTTTTGGGTTTTGGGGGGGTTCGTGGTTTAGGATGAACTTTTTATACTTGTTGAGGCTTCTTTACTTTGTGGGAATTGTAAAGTCGAACCTTTTGTTTTTTCTTTTTTTCCTGGGCTTTGGGAGAAGAACGTTGAGCGATTTTCATGTGGGGTTTAGCTGAGTCGAGCTAGCTCAGCTAGCCTATGCTCAAACCCAATTTAGTGTACTTCTAACCACAACTAGAACCACCCAAACCCTTGTTGTTTGGTTTTAGGGTGTCCTTCGGATGTCTTAGGCGGGCTGGTTTTGCTCCAGATGTCGGAATAGGGTTTTCCGCTGGCTGAGTTCTACTTGTGTCGTTTAGGCTCCCTTCGTGGGTTCAGGGTTGTTCAGGGTTTAGGGCCGAGGGTAGAATTGCGGCAGTGTCCCCATGCAAGCCTGCATATCTGTAAGCTAGCCCCACATTCCCATTCAAACAAAATAGGGCCCCCCACCAAGCCCTACATCCGACTACCCTAATCTGAACCCCTTCATTAAGTAGGTCGGGTTGAGGAGTCTAGGGAGTCTATGACCTTATCGCCTTCGGGTTTAGGGTCTCGGGCTGAGGGGTCAGGATGTTAATTTTGGGGTTCTAGGGTTTTAGGGGGTTTGGGGGTTTTGGGTTTTGGGTTTAGGGAGCAAGTTACTTGGAGGATGAGGAGCAGAAGCTGATGATACTCATGGAGGCATCAAACATGTAGATATCATAAGGAACCAGGGGGGGGGGGGATGTACGGGCCCCATATTCCCTTACTAGGGGCTTACTAAGGCTTATTTGGGGTTATGAAGCTATGGGGCCCTTACACTTCCCTCCCTTCCACCCTAAACCCTAAACCCTAAACCCCCCCTTGATTCCTTATGATGGAAGGGGGCTTCTGGGTTTCGGTCTTTTTTAGGGCTTTTAGGGTTGTTGTTAGTGCATTTAGGGTCTTTAGGGATTTGGGTGTTCCTTGTTTTGGATGGGGGACCGGGGGGCAGGTTCTTGGAGGTAGCTAGACTTGCGGATATCCGCAGCCGAAATGGAGATGCAGAGTCGGTTACCTCACTTTAGAGCCCTACTTGTAAGTTGGGTTTAAGGGTTTAGGGTTTAGGGTTTAGGGTAAGTACTCACGAACCTCCAAGTATGGGATCCCGTAGCAAGACTCCTACTGAGAAGCCCAAGCCTTTCTATTTGTTGATAATAAAGTTGTTTTTTTTGTTTTCTTTTTTTTGGGGGGGGGGGGGTCCTTACGAAACCCGAATCCTGCCCTTTAGGGAAGAGGCTTTTCCTGTGTTTTGGTTTTGGTAAGTCCAGGTTTTTTTGGGGGGAGCTTAGAGTCTTGGGCTGCGCCAGAGTCCCCTAGACTCTGAGGGCTCAGGGCCCCTCAGGCAAGAGAGCAAACCCTAAACCCTAAGCAATAAACCCTAAACCCTAAACCTGCAGAAAGCCAGGCTGGGGAGGGAACGGGGGGGGGGTGTTGGGTTCTTCAGGTGCATCTCAACCCCTTCAACGTCCAAGCCGACAAGAAGCTCCCTCCAGGGTTGGGGTGCAGGTAGGGTTTAGGGTTTAGGGTTTAGGGTTTAGGATTCAGAGATTTAGGGTGTAGGGTTTAGGGTTTAGGATTCAGGGGTTTAGGGAATGGGGGTTTAGTGTGTAGTTTAGGGTTTAGGCTTTCAGGTTTAGGTCCTGGACCCTAAAGCCTTCTGCCGCGAGGCGGGCGTCGAGCGCACACGGGCAATACGCGCGCTGCGCGCCGAGAATGGCGACTTGAATGGTGCCCTTGCTGCTGTCGGGTTTTGGGGGTGTGGAGGGCCCTAAACCCTAAACCCTAAACCCTGAACCCTGAACCCTGAACCCTTAAACCCTTAAACCCTTAAACCCTTAAACCCTAAACCCTAAACCCTAAACCCTAACTAAACCCCTAACCCCAAACCGCAAACTCCAAACCCTAAACCCTCCCCACCCAGCCAAGACTTGAGCAGGTGCCATGCTCAGGGCGACCGCCGAGGAGGCGGCGTGTCGTGTACGCTTCAGGGTGAATCTACTATAATACAGGGGTCAGAACAACTACTAATAGTATTCCCTTGTGGTCCCTTTGTATTTATACTCCAAGAACCCCCAAAAACCCTACTCTAAGTATTGAAGCCCCTATATGAACTACCATGTGCTTAAGGACCCCCCAAAAATTCAAGATAATTATCCTTGTATAGCCCTAAACGGTGATTCTACCATTTGCTGAAGGACACCTCCAAAAAATCAAAGATAATTATCCCTGTATTACCCTTGTAAGGAAGAATGTGTGTGTGTGTGTTTTTCTCACCCTCGGTGTGGGGTTGATAGATTTTAGACTCAACTCTTCTCCTCGCCCGGAACTCTTCTCCCCGCCCGGTCTACTCCTCACTCATCGGAGTGCCCAACCCCAAAGTATCCTCGGAGTGTCCACCCAGAGTCTCCCTGGAGTGCCCAACCCCAGAGTGTCCGGCCAGAGTCTCCCTGAAGTGTCCAACCCAGAGTCTCCCTAGAGTGCCCAACCCAAAAGTGTCCCCGGAGTGCCCCAGAATGTTCCCGGATTGCCAGCCCCAGAGTCTCCCGGATTGCCCACCCCAGTGCCCAACCCCAGAGTGTCCCGCCCAACCCCAGAGTCGCCCGAACCCCAGAGTCTCCCCGGAGTGCCCAACCCCAGAGTGTCCCCGGAGTGCCTAGCCCAGAGTATTCCTGGAGTGCCCAACCCATTCCTGGAATGCCCAACCCTAGAGTATCTCTATCACGAGAGGGTGGGGATGTTCGAAGTTTTTTTTTTTTTTTTTTTTTTTGGGGGGGGGGGTTCTTAAGCAGATAGGACATAAGAACACCCCCCCACCCAAACAATAAAAACGAAACAAGAATAATAAACAATAATTCAGACAAAACACCATTTGTCATCATGAAGGCCCCTATAATATTTGGCCGTCGGTGTTGCGCTTTGCGGCTCTTTGTTGAAGAGATCGCTTTCGTGTCCTTTGAGTGCTCACAATAATTTGCGAAACAAGGATCAGTTTAATAGCATCCATACACCCTAAACCCTAAACCCTAAACCCTAAACGCAGCTCTCAGGGTTTGGGGTTTAGTTTAGGCATTAGGGTCCAGGGTTTAGGGTTTAGGTTGGGATGTTCCCCCTTACACTGACTCCTTAGTGGGGATTCTAGTGCCCCCCCCCCATTATAATCCCTGTTAAGGACTGCTAGTATAAGGTTGAACATCCCAAATTGTGAGTTCATGACGAGAAGCGGGCACAAGAGATTTCCACGTAGTCACCTAGCGGGAGACGCAATCAATAGATAGCATGGGCTTCAGTGTTATCAAGTGCAGTTAGACTAGGACCCAGACTAGGCGCTTCTTCCCTTTTTGGGGTTCAGGTTTCCTTACAACCTCTGTAAACCAAAAAAGGGTACCCTTTGCATTCCCAGGCTGCTTCTGGGTCTAGTAGATCAGGTTTAGGTTTCGGGTTCACAAGGGATGTGGAACCGAGAGTTAAGCCTCTCATCCAACTACCCTACAAAGCCCTAAAATGTCTGCGACTCAGATCGCGCAGAATTCGGCTCTCCTTGTATGTAGATTTTGAGACTTGCCTGAAGTGGCCGTGTAGATCGTGATTTCTGAATATGCCCGCAATATCAGCTAGCCTCAGAGTCCGCGACCGTAAAGACGCTTGTTTCACTGTCTCTCTCTCTCTCTCTCTGTCGCGCTCGCTCTCTCTTTGTCTCTCTCTCTCTCTTTCTCTCTCTCTCTCTCTCGCTCTTTCCTTCTTTCTTTCCTTCTTTCTTTTCTTCTTTCTTTTCTTCTTTCTTTTCTTCTTTCTTTTCTTCTTTCTTTCTTTCTTTCTTTCTTTCTTTCTTGCTCTCCCTTTCTGTCTATCTTGCCGCTTCTGCCTCCCCACCTCTCTCCGAGTCACAAGTGTTGCGGGAAAGCAGGGCGTTTTGCGATCAAGACATCTAAATTCCCGAGCGGTTTCTGCCGCCCCCCTAAGGCTCTCGCACATGGCTTCACAAGTCCCTCTCAGTTTGCGAGCTGGTGGACCGACACCGCCAGGTACGAGAAGGGTTGGAGCACCTTGCGGCCTTGTTAGGTTGCAAAAACTGTTTGCCACAAGAAATCAATGGGCTTTGCCAGCTGGCTGGAAGGCAGGGAGGGTACCAAACTCATCAAACCCATCATTCAAGTGCTCAGCAAGAGTAGGCACCCTGGCGAAGTCCGCATGTGCGTGGTCGCACGGTCGGATAAGATCTCCCGCCGCGCAACGCATTTCGTGGACACGCAGAGCACGGGTTGCGAGATTGTGGTGAGAGGCTTCTCGGGTGAGAGCATGGAGGAGTTCATCCGCACCTACATGACTGCACGCGAGACATCATGCGCACGGAAAGCGAGGTCGCCTGTGCAGCCTTGGTTGTCTCTGCCGAGTCTTGTTAACGCCGTCCAGGATTCCAAGATTGCTGCCATGTTGGAGCAGCTGATTCAGCAAAGGCAGTCCAATTCGATTGCATTTCTCAACATAGCCACAGTCTCACAACGCACAAAACCCTAAACCCCAAACCCTAAACCCTAAACCCCAAACCCTAAACTGTTGACTCGTGCCGGTCCAAGACTCCTGTCGAGTGAGACTTGGACAACGACCGGTCCTTAGCTAGTCTCACTACGAAGGAGCCAAAGTGCCTGCAGACAAAAGGCCCGCAGTCACCATAAGCCCCTAACCCTAAACCCTAAACCCTAAACCCTAAACCCTAAACCCTAAGCCCTAAGCCCTAAACCCTAAGCCCTAAGCCCGAAGCCCGAAGCTCTAAGCCAGCCCCAAATACCCTTAACCTCAGACGGAAGGTTTAGGGTTTAGGGTTTAGGGGTGTGGGGGGGGAAGCCCCAAGAAGGCACCTATCCTCATCAAACCCCGAGCCTTAAGTCAGCCTTAAGTCCAGGCTTACCCTATCAACTCTCAAGTCCTTTTTTTTCGCCCTCTAAGCCCTAAACCCTAAACCGATGTCCTAAAAGCCCTACAAAAACTCTATAAGCCCTAGAAACCCAGAACAACTCCAAACTCTAAACCTCAGCCCTACAAGCCCTGAAAGCCCCAAACAAACACCTGCACAGACCCCACAGACCCAAATAAAATCCAACCCTTAAAATCCTACAAGCCCTAGCCTAAGCCACAAACCCTACAAACCTTAAACCCTAAATCTCTAAACCCTAAACCCTAAACCCGAAACCCCCCCTTAAACCCCCAAGAACCTCTTCAATCTCCGGCGCCGTGCCCAAGGTGGCCTCCGACGACCCTGGTCCAGAAGACTTGGAGCAGGACCCAGAAGAGGGTTCTTAGGGAGTTTAGTGGTTTAGGGGTTTGGTGTTTGGGGCTAGGGTTTAGGGTTTAGGGTTTAGGGTTTAGGGTTTAGGGTTTAGGGTTTAGGGTTTAGGGTTTAGGGTTTAGGGTTTAGGGTTTAGGGTTTAGGGTTCAGGGTTCAGGGTTCAGGGCGAGGGTTTTTAGGGGTTTAGGGGCTTCGGGGTTTAGGGCTTAGGGTTCAGGGTCTGCGGGTTAAGGGTTTAGGGTTTAGGGTTCAGGGCTAGGGTTCAGGGTCTGGGTGTTAAGGGTTTAGGGCTAGGGTTTTATGGGTTTAGGGGCTTAGGGTTTAGGGCTGAGGGCTAGGGTTGAGGGTCTGGGGGTTAAGGGTTTAGGGCTAGGGTTTGGGGGTTTGGGGTTTAGGTTTTAGGGCTAGGGTTCAGGGTCTGGGGGTTAAGGGCTAGGGTATAGGGGTTTAGGGTTTTGGGTTTAGGGTTTAGGACTAGGGTTTAGGATTTAGGGGTTTGAGGGTTGAGGGTTCAGGGGTTAGCTGCGACATCTTCCTTTCGCTGCCGCCTAAAGTCACGAGCGAGACGATCTCGTTGGGGGGCCCCATCAGTCTTGCGCCGGAGTCTTCCCTAAACCCCTAAAACCCTTAGACCTTGCATGGGTTGGTGGTCCCTTTAAGTAGGGTTTCTGTTTTATGGGCATATATTCGGGGGTCTTATTCGGGTATCTAGGGGCAAAATAAAGGTATAAGGGCAGCAGATCACCTAAACCCTGAACCCGCCCCTAAACCCCAAATCCTTGAACTCCGAACCCTACCCCCCGCAACTTCTTCAGGCCTCTAAGGCCCCTAAAGCCCCTAAACCCTGAAACCTCTAAGTTTAAATCCAAACCTAAACCCTGAAACCTCTGAATCCCCCAACTCCGTGAGCCCTACAACCCCTAAACCCAGAAACCCCAAAGCCCCATTGTAAATGCCCCGCCAAACCCGAAACCCTATAAACCCAATAAACCCAAAAAACCCTCTAAAACCATTTTAAACCCCTAAATTCCCCAACTCCAGACGCTACACCCTAAATCCCCACCCACAACCCTATACACCCTATAAGCCCAAATAAACCCTACACACCCTCTAAACCCCATTAATACCCTAAATGCCCTAAATACTCTAAGCACTAAACCCTAAACCTAAACCCTCAAAACCCCAAAATCCTAAACCCTATCCAAAACCCTATACGCCCCACAAGCCCAAAAAACCCTACAAACCCTCCAAAGCCCTTTAAACCCCTAAACCCCTAAACCCCTAAACCCCTAAACCCCTAAACCCCTAAACCCCTAAACCCCTAAACCCCTAAACCCCTAAACCCTATCCGCAGCCCTCGGCGCCCGCGGCGCCCGCGGCGGCCTCGGCGGCCTCAGCCTTGGGCCGGCTGGGCGGCCTTTGGCAGGCGACTTTTGGGGGTTTAGGGTTTGGGGTTTAGGGTGTAGGGTTTAGGGCTTGGGGTTTAGGGTTTAGGGTTTAGGGCTTGGGGTTTAGGGCTTAGGGTAATTCAGGGTTTTAGGGTCTAGTTCGGGTTTGGGGGGTTTAGGGGAGACGATTTTGGGAGGCATTTTAGGGTTTTGGGGATTGTTGGGGGGATTGTTGGGGATTTGGGGGGATTTTTGTGGGGGGGCGTTTCGGGTTCTCAGGGTTTAGTGTTTAGGGTTTGGGATTGGGTTTAGGGGATTTTCGGGTGATTTTGGGGTTTAGGGCTTTGGGGGGGTTGGGGGGGGGGGGAGCTGGGGGGTTTAGAGTTTAGGGTGTGTTTGGGGGGATTGTCAGGGTTTACAGGGTTGGCCTGTGAGGGGTCGGGCATCTAGGGCTTACAGCGATCTTCGTTGGGTTGTCAGAAGGTTTGCAAAGGTTTCTGTCGGGTGTATTGGGTTGTTGTTGTTGTTGTGTGGCGATTTATTTGAAGTATATTCGGTTGTGCGGGCATTGGGGCTTAGGCTTTTGAGGGTGTAGGTTGTGGGGTTTGTAGGGAACCTTCAACTTCGCACCCTTCACCTGTTTGTTTAGGGTTTAGGGTTTAGGGTTTCGGATTTAGGGTTTATTTTAGGGTGTAGGGTTTGGGGTCCTGCCTGCTCAGGAGGTGTCGCAGAAGATCCCCTTCCCGAGCGCGCCGTCAGGTATTCAGCTTGGTGGCTTGGCAAGAGCCCTTAGACCCGAAAGCCCCGAAAGCAGCCATGCGTAAAGCCCACAAACCCAGCTCTCTAAACCCTTCACACTAAATCCTAAACCCTCAATCCCTAAATCCCTAAACCTTGAAGCCCTAAAACCCTACATGGTAAGTTCCCAGAATAGGGGCACCCCTTTTCTACCCCAAGTAGAGTCCCCTTAAGGGGACCCCCCAAAAAGGGTACCCCCTATTTTCCGAAACTGCCACATGCACTCCTCGATGCTCTGAGGACCCAGACCTCCAGCGCCAGAAGGCTCTGCAAAGCACACAGAGCTGCCTGAATGCAGGGCCATTGAAGATCAAGGGTGTTAGGGTTTTAGGGGTTTTAGGGGTTTTAGGGTTTTAGGGTTTTAGGGTTTTAGGGTTTTAGGGTTTTAGGGTTTTAGGGTTTAAGGCTTTAAGGGTTTAGGGTTCGAGGCTTGGCACTTTTCGGGTGTAGTGTTTTTGTGCTTAGAGCATTGACGGTTTAGCGTTTGGTGTGAGGGCCCATGTCTTGTACTCTCAACCTCTAAGCCCTAAACCTGAAACCCCAAACCCTAATTTTACCTTCCTTGAAAAGGCCAGAATAAGCGCTTGCAAAGCATTAATAAGGGAATGTGGGTCGCAGAGCCTGTCACGGGAGCTGAAACTCGCCCCTCCTGAACCGCCACCCCCAACATGAAGCACGTCCCACCTGTTGATTCCGTGCGCCGCTCACCCCCCCCCCCCCCCCCCCCCCCCCCCCCCCCCCCCCCCCCGTAAACCCTAAACCCTAAACCCTAAACCCTAAACCCTAAACCCTAAACCCTAAACCCTAAACCCCCCACCCCACCCCCGCCTAAACCCGAAACCCCCCGCAAGTACACCCCACCTGCTCTGCAAGGTTCTTCATTCCCGGGCAGGTTGCCTCCCGGCTGCAGTCCTGCAATGTCACAGCTCCTGCGAAAACATATACGTACATAATATGTATATACACGCATATACACGTGTGTGTATGTGAGTGTGTGCGTAGATATGGATATACTCCCCCCCCCCCCCCCCCAACCTTGGTGCAAGAGGCAACAGGTCGAGCCTCCCTTCACTGAGAGCTCAGATTGAAGTCTCGTCATGAGAGAGCCCCAATAGAAATGGCTTCCTGCTTGGGCCAGAGCCCTCATTGGTATGGAGTTCTCGTGATCGTCGAAATCGCCCAAAAAGTCTTACCCCCCCCTAAACCCCACAAACCCTAAACCCTAAACCCTAAACCCTAAACCCTGAACCCTGAACCCTAAACCCTAAACCCTAAACCCTAAACCCTAAACCCCAAACCCTAAACCCTAAACCCTAAACCCTAAACCCTAAACCCAAACCCTCCCCGAGGCCCTAATCCCAAGTTCAGCCCCTCCTCCTCTCCAGGAAGGCCTAAGACCTGACACCCGAAGAAACCCTGGCCAAGAGAGAGCCCAGGCACCCTGAACTTAAAACCCTGGAAAAGCCCTTGAAGGAAAATAATCTGCCGTTGTAAAACCTCTAGAGAAGGAAAAGAATCTGCAGAACCGTTGTAAGACCTCTCGAGGATCCTTCGCAAAGCCGTCAAAGGTGCACCTCTACCGCCACAACGGTCTCGCGCGAGCAGCTCTGGCGGCCCCCAGCCACGAGGCCGGTTTAGGGTTATATATATATATATATATATATATATATTTATAATATTATATTGTATATTATATATAATATATATATATATATATATATATATATATTATATTTTAGATATCATGTGTTATATACTAATATATATATATATATATTCACACATAGAGATACATATATACATACATATATGTGTATATATGCGTATGCATATGTTGAATGTATAATGGGATAGTACCCCTAAACCCTAGCATCTGCTACACCCCAACTCAGCCGCCTAAGACAATCTTGGCGGACGCAGGCCCTGAGGCGGATCGTGCCCTCGCAGGACGTCATCCGGGGGTTTAGGGTTTAGGGTTTAGGGTTTAGGGTTTTGGTTTAGGGTTTAGGGTTTAGGGTTTAGGGTTTAGGGTTTAGGGTTTAGGCGGGGCCTGGGGAGAGAAGGGTAGGTAGGGTACCCCAAAACCTAAAAATCCTCTTTGAAATTGCGGTTCTAAACCGCGGAGGGGTCGTGAGAGAAGGCCCCCCTTTTTGGTGCAGTTAGGGCATTGCCATGTCACGCTTTAGGTGTTGTGGAGGTGGAGGCTGCCAGTGCTACAGCTCCGCCTTCCCCCCTGAACTCGAAAGCCCTTTAAATCCCCTAAACATAAACCTAAACATAAACCCTAAACCCTAAACCCTAAACCCTAAACCCTAAACCCTAAACCCTAAAACGAAACCCCCTACGCCGGTCTAAGACCAGGAAGCCGAAGCAACCCGAAGAATCCTGAACCTGGGGATGTCCACCCTTAGACGAACAGCTCCTGAATCGGGATTCTAATGGGGGGTACTAAAGTTAGTCCCTATTAAGGACTGTTCGTATAAGGGGGAACATCCCAACCTGAGCCTATCAACTGCCGCTTTTGCGGCCGCGCTGGCGCAGGAGATGCTCCACGACCACAAGCTGGAGTCCTACGCGCTGGCGCTGCACCAGGCCCCCCCCCCTCTCTCTACACGTGTCAGTATTCAAACCTTAAACCCTACACCGCCCACATGGCTGCAGGCATTCGGGTTTCTAGGTCTCATAAGCGCACTTCGAACCCCAAACTTTGAGAATCACCCTATAAAACCCTAAACCCTAAACCCTTCCGCCATGAGGCGTGCGTCGAAGTGCCCCGGGCGCCCACGTGGGAGCCGCCCGCCCGAGGTCTTCACGGGGGCCTTTGTTGGGGAATTATGTTTCAAAGTTCTTTTGTACATAAAAAATTCTGCCCGCATGATCAGTTTTACAACAGAAAGGTCTAAAGAAAGCTAAACCCTGAACGCCTAAACCCCCAAACCCCAAACCCCTAAACCCTACGCCCTACACCCTAAACCCCAAACCCCTAAACTATACACCCTAAACCCCTAAACCCCCTAAACCCTAACCCCTAAACCCAAAACCCTAAACCAAGGAGGCAGCTCCAGGGTTTTAGGCTTTGAGGGCTGCGGCCTTTTCTCATGCGGGGGGGGCTTCGGGGGGCGGTCCGGGCTCAACTTGCAGCTACTGTCCAGGAAGCGGCATGGCCCCGTGGTGTGAACCCTAAACCCTATAGTAATAGAGTAGTACAGTAGTATAGTAGTATAGTAGTATAGTAGTATAGTAGTATAGTAATAGAGTAGTATAGTAGTATATTAGTATAGTAGTATAGTAGTATAGTAGTATAGTAGTATAGTAGTCTAGTAGTCTAGTAGTCCTAGTAGTCTAGTAGAACAAAGCCCTGAAACCCGAAATCGGAAGAAGATTCTCCCCGGCAACATGCCAAGGTCCTTCGATCAGCGCGAGTTGTGCGCCTGCTGCGGCTCCGACTTTGCGTGGGCCACCTGCCTCACAACAGCTCGGGGTTTAGGGGTTTAGGGTTTAGGGATGTTTAAGGTTTAGGGTTTAGGGTTTAGGGTTTAGGGTTTAGGGGTTTAGGAAGGGCTTTTTTTTCTGTTCCTGTGGGTTATAAGGACTATGTACAGCTTCCCGAAGCCCTCTGCACCCGAAACCCTATAAACACGAGAAGTTGTGGGAGAAACAGGGACCTACTGCCCGAATCCGCTGTCCTTACTGACCCAGGGCCCTTGTATTGAACTTAAGACAGAAAGCCCTAAGCCCTAAGCCTTAAGCCCTAAACCCTAAACCCTAAACCCTAAACCCTAAACCCTAAACCCTAAACCCTAAACCCTAAACCCTAAACCCTAAACCCTAAACCCTAAACCCTAAACCCTGAACCCTAAGCAGCCGCAAGAGGCCTTCGTGCTGCAGAGCGAGGCGCAGAAGATGCTCTCGAGGCACCGACTCAGGGTTTAGGGTTTAGGGTTTAGGGTTTGGGGTTTAGGGTTTAGGGTTTAGGGTTTAGGGTTCAGGGCGAAAGTTCCTACAGTTTCGGGTTTAGGGTGAAATTCCTGGGGTACCATACCAGACCTTGAAACCTGATTCTCGATCCCTACACCATAAAACCGCACAAAAACCTAAAGACCACAAAGCCTTAAAGTCTACACAGCCTACACGCTAACATAACTTTGTAAACTGTAACCCCAAACGGCAAGCTCCTCAAACCTATGCTCCCTAAAACCCCAACCCCCAATCCCCCAAGCCCCCACACCCCCAAACCCTAAACCCTAAACCCTAGACCCTAAACCCTAAGCTCAACGTGAGGCATCACTGTCTAGCCTGCGGCCGCGTGGTCTGCGACGGCTGCTCGCGAAAGAGGCGCCCTTGTTTCAGGGGTTTCCTACTACACCCCTTTCTCCTACCCCCCCCCTCCTAGGGTTTAGGGTTAAGGGTTTAGGGTTTAGGGATACTACCCAGAGGGGGTAGGGGAAGCCATGATTGTTCGCTTTTGGGTAGGGATTCTTAGGGAGGGTTAGGGAGGGTTAGGTTAGGCTTTGGGGTTTTGAGATGGGGTTAGGCAGGGGTTTCAGGTTCAGGGTTTAAGGCTTATGGCTTGGCAGGAAGAGAGGCCCCTTAAGAGCCTTCAAGGAATCCGAACACCCCGAACCATCCAAAACGACCCGAAAGCCCAAACCCTAAACCTTAAACCGGGTTTCGGGTTTAGGGTTTGGGGGTTGAGGGTTTAGGGTTGAGGGCTTAGTTTAAGGGTACTTTCATGGTCCCTTAATAAGGTCCGTTACCTTGAAAGGGTTCCGAAGTGTGGGAATACAAGGGGTTTTAATAGGAAAGGGTATGCAAGGGTCCCCCACTGCGGGCCCATACTAAGGGAACCATGGAACGACCCCCCAGAAGCCCGAAACGACCTAAACCCTAAACCCTAAACCCTAAACCCTAAACCCTAAACCCTAAACCCTAAACCCTAAGAGCCTGGAACCTTGAAGTCCCTGACCCCTAAACTCCGTATTCCCGGCCCCTAAGCCCAAAACCCCCCCTAAAGACCACGACTCCCAGAAATCCTATAGCCCTTAGAAGGCCCAGCCCCCGATCCCCAACCTCGAACCTTAAACCCAAACTAAACCCGAAACCCTAAACCCTAAACCCCAACAAATCCCCAAGACCCCAATGCCCAGCCCTCCCAAACCTGGACCCCCGCAACCCCCAGTTTGCCTTCAAAACCAACGAAACCCAAACCCAAACTTAAACCCGAACACCCTAAGAGCCCCACCAAGCCCTCCAAACCCCCAAAACCCGAAGCAACCTTTGAAGAAACCTTTGTAACAAACCTCAAATGGCCCTCCCTCAAGACACCCCCAAACGCCCCTAACACCCCCAGAACCCAAACCCTAAACAAACCCTCTGAAAAAAGAGCCCAAACCCCAAATAAAACGCCTCCGCAAGAAAATCTCCAAAGAAGCACCCCCGACCCAACCCCCCCCCCCCCTCCCCCCCCGCGCAGGCTGGCGCATGCGAATCTGGGCTTCACCGTCCCGGTCCGCACCTGCGCCGCTTCGTAGCAGACGTACAATAGGGCCTTAGTCGTTAGAACAGGGTTTTGGGGGTTACTGTAGTATAATCAATAAGTAGATTTTTTTTTTTTTTTTTTTTTTGGGGGGGGGGGTTGTTACAGTATGAAAAACTAGGGACCATAGCGGAATATCATTAGTAATTATTCCGACCTCTATGTTAGGTTTTCTGAAGGTTTGGTTCAAGGTTGATTTCGTCGTTGTAAAGTGTTTTCTGCAAGGTCGTTTTAAAGTTTTGTTTGTTAAGTTGTCCAGGGTTTTGGGAGGTTCTTTCAGGGTTTAGGTTTTATAGGGCTTCAGGGCTTGGGGTTGAGTTTGCTTCTTGGCGTGGACAGGGTGTGGGGTTTAGTTTAGTTTGGCTTTAGGACTTTAGGGGCTTTAGAGGCATGGGGTTTTGGGGAGCCTATGCTGTTTCGCAGTAGGGACCCGGTTATGGACCCTCAATCCCTGCTGGCTCCAGGTAGCACCCCTAGTGATACCCCTTGCATAAGTACCCTACCCCTTTAAATCCTCACACCCTAACCCCTACACCCCTAAACCCTCACAGCCCAAGCCCCTCAACCCTCAAACCCTACACCCTTAAACCTCTAAACCCCTAAGCCCTAAGACCCTAAACCCTAATAAACCTCTCCCCCCGGCACAACGCAACCTCAAGGGCCTCCTTCAGTCTATATAGTCAACTCCATACAGTTGGAACATGGTTGAAGAACGATTAGTGATGGGATTCCCTTTTGTAACCCTTTTAGGGTATGAGTTGGGGTGTTCCCTCTTATACTAACGGTCCTTAATCGGAATTCTGACAGGGGGTACTAAAGTCCCTAATAAGGACTGCTAAACCCTAAACCCTAAACCCTAAACCCTAAACCGCTCCAACTCTTGGCAGCAAACTGAAAGCCCTAGGACAGCTGCGCATTCGCTCAGTTCGAGGGGGAGGACGAGGCGGCGGCTGCGTCTTGTTGTGGCTCCTGGCCCTAAACCCGCTAAAGCCGAGAAACCCTGCATACCCCGAAAACCGTATAAACCCTGTAAAACCTTAGCAAACCCTAAACCCTATAAACCTTACAAACCCTATAAACCCTATAAACCTTGTAAACCCTGTGAACCCTATAAACCCACAACCCTCCAAACCCTATAAACCCTATCATAAGCCCTCGACCCTCTAAACCCTATAAACCCTAGACCCTAAACCCCTTGTTGGGTTAGGGTGTTAGGGTTTGGGGCTCTAATGCTTGGATTCTTTATGGTTCTTCAGAAAGGGACACTGTGGGGCCTGCATTTTTGCAGGCATGTTCTTTCTGTGTTTTAGGAACAAGGACGTGTTATCATGTATGATAAGGGTGGTTGTCAAAATTTTTCCCTTTTGGGGTACCCTAAATATTAGGTGCCGTATCATTATAGGGATCCAAAAAGGTGTGATTTTTACATCAAGGAAGAGGAGCATAGGCATAGGGAGAGCATCCTATTCTCAGACGCGACTTAGGGTTCAGGGTTTAGGGTTTAGGGCTAGGGTTTAGAGCACATCTTGCGTGCTCAAGCTGACATCCGGCCGCCGCCGGCTCAGCCTTCAGGCATTTTGTCGGAGGAGACGATCACTTTCGTCGACGGATCTGCTCACCTTGTGCTGGGTTCTGATCAGTAGCTCACTCTCAGTGGCAAGCCTTCTCTGCGGGTCTTCAAGGTGTATGGTCTGGCCAGAATGTTACGGTGCACTCTGATTGCCAACACTTTGTGGACTCATATGGGCCCAGTTCCGCGAGCTGCCTTATGAGCTTATGCCGAAAGGGGATCTCTCTGGAAGCTTTTGGATGACGAACGAAATGGTTGGCAGGATGGCACCCCCCACATCGGTTAGCTGTGAATTAATTTCAAGGCGTTTTTGTTGGTGAGTTTAGGTCTTAGGGGAGGATGCGACTATGGTTTTTATGATTACGAGCAGACTAGAAATATAGCACCATAGACACACTCACCAATGTGTATAAGGAAGCCTCGATACAGTATATACACGCACCAAAAGCAGCACTAGAACCCTACTTCAGATATACCCTAAACCCTACCTTTGTGGGTCCCTCGGGCTTCTCTGAAAGTGGGCACTCTGGAGACCTGGCCAGCAAGCACCGGGCGAGACGAGGGAGAATGGTTGACTCAAGATCTAACAAAACCCCCCACCGAGTGGACCCTGAAAAGGCCCCCTGAGTAGCCCAAGGTTACCTTTTTCCCCTCATGTTGGGGGGCGGTTCTAGGTTCCCTTGTAAACCCTAAATACTAACCCTAAGCCCTGTGCAAAGCCCGCACGACCCATGTGGCCGGGAGCAGGCGCTGGTGGCCTTCGCAGCCGAGGACCTGTTGTGGCTCATGGGGTTTAGAGTTTAGGGTTTAGGGTTTCAGGATTGGGGTGTAGGGTTTAGGGTTTAGGGTTTAGGGCTTAGGGTGTAGGGCTTAGGGCTTAGGGCTTCAGAATCAGGGTTTTGGGGTTGAGGCTGGGATGTTCACCCTTGTACTAACAGTCCTGAATAGTCATTATAATCGGGGGGGGGGGGGTGGGTACTAGAGTCCCTATGAAGGATGTTTAGTATAGGGGGGAACATATCAAGGTTTAGTTTAGGGCTTCACAACCAGGGTTTATTGTCTTGGGGTTTAGGCCCTAGGGTGCAGGGTTTTGGGCCTAAACCCTAAACCCTAAACCCTAAACCCTAAACCCTAAGTTTCGAAAAGCCCAGAAGGAATCAGCAACTCGTGGCCCGAATGCCTCCCCAGTTTAGGGTTTAGGGTTTAGGGCTTAGGGCTTAGGGCTTAGGGTTTAGGGCCAAGGCGCCGGTTCAAGGCGCCAGCCACCCCAGGCCAGTTGGAGATGAGTTTGGTGTTGGATGAGCAGTAATTAGGTTGCAAGTTGCACTACGGGAGGTTAGAACCCTCAACCCTCAGCCCTAAACCTGAATTAGGACCCAGACGAGGTCCTGTTCCTTTTTCTTGGTGCTCAGGTTCCCTTATAAGCCCCTTTAAACCAAAAGGGCACTTTTTTTTCCTTAGGTTACTCCTGGGTCTAGTTAATCTGCTTTCTGAGCAAGCCCTGCGCCTTGCTATGGGCCTGGGGTTTAGGGTTTCGGGTTTAGGGTTTCGGGTTTAGGGTTTAGGGTTTCGGGTTTAGGGTTTAGGGTTTAGCGTTTAGGATTTCGGGTTTCGGGTTTAGGGTTTAGGGCACCTTGAGACTTGGTAGCCCAGTGGTGCCCTTTTGCTCCTTTTTTGCGCGGTTCTGGGTTCCCTCAGCCAGCACCCCCCCCCCCCCCCCCCCCCCCAAAAAAAAAAAAAGCACCCTGTAAAGCCCTAAAACCCTAAAACCCTAAAACCCTAAAACCCTAAAACCCTAAAACCCTAGTTTAGGGCTTAGGGCATTTTTGGGCTTGCGCCCACGCAGCTGAATTCCTGAGATCCAGCCCCCAATACAAACCATGAGACGTTCATGTCCCTAACGCCAGAAGCCCCACACCGTCTAAGCCTCTTCCCAACACCCGGTAGTCTGCCCCATGAACCCTATTGAATCCCCAAGAAGGCCTTAAATCCCCAAAGTCCTTGATTTAACCCCTCAACCCCACAACCAACTACCTGAACCCTAAACCCCAATCCTAAACCCCAAACCCCAAACCCTAAACCCTAAACCCTAAACCCGAAACCCTAGGAACCCGAAAAAGCCACAGGAGGAGGCGGCGAAGCAGGCGGCCCGGTCCGTCTGAGCCTCCCGGAGGTTTCCCTGACGGATGTTTAGGGTTTAGGGTTTAGCGTTTAGGGTTTAGGGTTTAGGGTTTGGGAGGTTAGGGTTTAGGAGGTTAGGGTTTAGGGGTTTTTTTTGGAGTTTAGGAGTTCGGAGGGCTGATGGGGTTTATAGGTTTTAAAGGGTTGATAGGGTTTAAAGGGTTTACAGGGTTTATAGGGATTGGGAGTTGAGGGTTTAGGAGTTTAGGGATTTTCAGGGTTGAGGAGTAGGGTTTAGGAGTTGTTTTTTTTTCAGGGTTTAAGGTTTTAAGGGGTCTGCACCTTTAGTTCCCCTACGATACCGGACCCGAAACCCAAAACCCTAAACCCTACAACTAAGCAATCCCCAAAGGCCCTAAACCGTGCATTCCTAGGTCAGATGAGGGACTTCGTGGCTCAAAAGCAAGGGAGCCACCCCTGAACCACAATTTTTTGGGGCTTAGGGTGTAGGGTTTAGGGTTTAGGGTTTAGGGTGTAGGTTTTAGGGTTTAGGGTTTAGGGTTGAGGGTTTGACAGTTGAAAGAACCTCCTGGGCGGCGCGCGCCCATGGCAGCCCCTTTGCTTGCAGGCAGCCGGCAGTTTCTCGATCTTCTCCGACCTTAGCCTGGGGGGGGGACACCTCAACACTCGAAGCTTAACCTCGGTAGCCCAGTGGTGCCCTTTGCCCTGTAACGCTAAACCCTAAACCCTAAACCCTTAACCCCCGAAATTTGGAACCCTAAGTTCCAAACCGAAACGGGCCTGGAGCCTTGTCAACTAACCCAGTCAACAGTTTAACTTTGAAACCTTTCTTGGGCCATTTAGAAGGAACTTAGAGGGAATGATCAAGCTTACTTGTCTGCTAGTCCTTGTTTATTGGAAAAGTCAGCAAAGCCAAGTCAGACTCCAGCACGATGACCGCGCCAAAACCCTAAACCCAAAACCCTACACTCTAAACTCTAAACCAGTATTTGGGGCCCGAAGGGGTGGAATCTGACCCTTCAGGGAGGATTCGAGTACGCGTTCAGCGGGGGGGGATTTAGGGTCTAGGGGTTTAGGGTTTACGGTTTATGGGTTTGCGGTCTGGGGTTGCGGCTTTGGGGCTTCGGGCGCAATTACGGGAAAAAGAGCTGGTTCCGGGAGTTGGGGGTGATGCCGAAACTTAGGCTTTCTCTGCTTCGTCCCTTGTGGACACCAGCATGTGGTGCTACCGAGAACCTCGAAACCCCGAAACTTAACTGCGCACCAAGCTCGGAGGAGTTTTGAGAGATGCCGGGCGGTGCCATGTACATACAAGCGCAGGCTCGCCACATCCGAAATGCACACTCCTCGTGATCCGGCCTCCCCTCCCAGAAAAAAGAAACACCAAGCATGTGGGTTTAGGGTTCAGGGTTAAAAACTAAAACCCCTAAACCCTGGACCCTGAACCCTAAACCCTAAACCCTCAACAACGCAAAACACAGTCCTGTCGGTATACTTGTGAATGATATTTGGTGTCACTGTGGTGTTTAACTTTTTTTAGGGGAGGAGGAAGGGATTGCAGGTACAGCCCGCGCCTCGCGGTCTCAGCCACAGTGACCGCGCGCCTGCGGAAGAGAGCAGAAAGCAGCACCCTACACCGAAACCACACGGGGTTTAGGGTTTAGGGTTTAGGGTTTGGGGTTTAGGGTTTAGGGTTTGCAGGTTCATGGTACCTAGTTTTCCGAATTTGCTTATAATTAGGTTGCATGTATAGTTCTAATTGGGTTACTAAGTACCATGAACCTCCCAGTAAGCCCTGCCTGCACCCCCCCCCCCAACTAATTTTGGGACCTTACTAATTACAACTTTTTTTTAAGAGTTACAACTATTTTTTTGGGGGGGGATCGTATAGTGTAGTGATTATAGGGACCATAAGCGAATATTATTAGTAGTTCTTCCGACCCCTATAGCACCCTTCAATAAAGGGGGGCTTTCTGTGCCTTAGACCCGAGCAACGGTGGGCCTTAAACCCTAAACCCTGAACCCTAAACCCTAAACCCTAAACCCTAAGCCCTAAACCCTAAACCCTAAAACCTCACCCCTCAGCCCGGAACCGCTTCAGGGCTGGGAGTTGGGGGCCTCTTTCATCTCTAAACCCAAAACCCTAAACCCCATTTCCTAACTTCTAAACCCGAAAGCCCGGCTTATGAAAGGGGTTAAGGATGCAGGGTTTCCGAAGCTTCTGAGGGTGCAACATTTCAGCAGTTCCGAGGGTTTAGGGCTTGAGGGATCTCGGGCTTTGGGGATCGCAGGCTTTTACCCATTTTGCCCGATGAACCCTTTAGCCCTCCAGCCCTAGACCCTCAACCCTCTAGCCCTAACCCTAAACCCTCTAGCCCTGAACCTTAAACCCTAAACCCTAAACCCTAAACCCTAAACCCTAAACCCTAAACCCTAAACCCTAAACCCTAAACCCTAACCGTAAACCCTAAACCCTAAACCCTACACTTCAACCCCAAACCCGGAGGGTTGTAGGGCTCTCCGGATCCCTGCCACCAGTTGGCGGTGAACGGGAGCATCGTGGCCGAGGCGACCTTTGCTCTGCCGACCGAGAGGCCCCTTGCGTTTAGGGTTTAGGGTTTCGGGTTTAGGGTTTAGGGTCTCGGGTCCCGGAGGACAATCAAAGCTTTTCGGGTTTTTTAAGTGGGTGTTAAAGTTTTTTTATGTGGGTTTAAATCATGGTTCTTACGTGGGTTTTGACAGGTTTTTTAAGTGGGTTTGAGAAAGGGTTTTTCAGTGGGTTTGAAAGGGCTTTAAAGTGGGTTTTACAGGGCTTTCAAGGTTGTTTTTAAGTCGGTCTGATGGGGTTATCGGAGAGTTGCGAGTTGTTCATGAAGGTCCCTTTTGGGGTTTGTTTATACGGTGCCGTACGAATAGGAGTAAAAGGACCCT